ATTTCATCCACCCCCGGAGCCTTGCCACAGAGGAGCTTTTTAACCACCTCAGTGACCTCAGCACCAGAGATTTGAGAGGCCAAACCAAAGTCCCCAGACTCTGCTTCCTCACTGGAAGACATGTCGGTGGGATTGAGGAGGTCTTTGAAGTATTCTGCCCACCGATCTACTACGTCCTGAGTAGAGGTCAGCAGCACATCGTCCCCACTATAGATAGTGTTGGTGTGTGTTTATGTGTGTTTATTCACTTAGCAGACGCTTTTATCCAAAGCGTCTTACAATTAATAACCTGTAGGGCATGTTGTGATCTGTGGGGGAAACCGGAGTACCCGGAGGAAACACACGCATGCATGGGGAGAACACGCAACTCCACGCAGAAAGGCCGCAGCCGAGTTTCGAACCTGCGACCTTCGTGCTGCAAGGCAACAGTGCTAACCACTGCGCCACCATGCAGCCCAAGATATGATAGTGTTGGTAGCGCACTGCTTTCCCCCCCTGAGGCGCTGAATGGTGGACCAGAATCTCCTTGAAGCCGTACGGAACTCTTGCTCCATGGTCTCACCAAACTCCTCCCATGCCTGGGTTTTTGCCTTGGGGACCACCCGAGCCGCGTTCCGCTTGGACTGCCAGTACCCGTCAGCTGCCTCTGGAGTCCCACAGGCCAAAAGGACTCTTTCTTCAGCTTGACAGCATCCCTAACCGTCGGTGTCCACCAGCAGGTTTGGGGGTTGCACCACGACAGGCACCGACAATCCTGCGACCACAACTCCGGTCGGCCGCCTCAACAATGGAGGCACAGAACAGGGTCTATTCAGACTAAATGTCCCCCACCTCCCCGGGAACATTTAGGGAGTTCTGTTGTAGGTGGGAATTGAAGCTCCTTCTGACAGGAGATTCTGCCAGACGTTCCCAGCAGACCCTCGCGTTACGTTTGGGCCTGCCTGGTCTGACCGGCATCATCCCCCATCATCTGAGCCAACTCACCACCAGGTAGTGGTTAGTTGACAGCTCCGCCCCTCTCTTCACCCGAGAGTCCAAGACATGCGGTCGCAGGTCAGATGAAACGACAACAAAGTCGATCATCGAGCTGCGGCCTAAGGTATCCTGGTGCCAAGAGCACATATGGACACCTTTATGTCTGAACATGGTGTTCTTCAACTCTTGTTTGGTGCGAAATTCATTTTATTTAGATGTAAAGTAAAATATCTCTCAATCAAAATTCTGAATATTAGGATTTAATGTTGAAGGCTACTGAGTGGCATCACATTGCACACCGGGTGGCAGCTGCCTAGATTTAATGACGAGTGAGTTCATTCAAAAGTGGATGTCACTTTCTGTATATGCACGAGGCTCATGGCTCCAAGCCGGCAGTTGGGGTCGGACATGGCGTCTCTGTGTGTAAACAGAGCTTAGAAGTATTAACCTGTCAGCCACATCCGTGTCCTAAGCTACTTACAGGTCATCTGTCTTCCTAATGAGACCGGCCCCACTGCGACATCCTATCATGCTATCTATTGTGTGACATCACAGCAGGCTGACTGGTTCCTAAGCAACCAGATGAACTTGTCACAAATAAAGAATTAGTGGAGAAACAAAATCAAACTAAAGGTAGAATTTTACCTGGTCTTTTAACACAGATTCTTGTGTTTTATGTCAAACTAATATCATCTACAGATATCAGATAATCTCAGACACTAGTTTACAACTGGTTTGTGCTTTCTGCTGATATAGATCTGATAATGATCACTGCCTAGAGTGAACATAAATATTATTTTAAATGTTTAAATGCATTCGCCCAATACATGGAAGGTTCTAGACTAACATGGGGGGAGTGAGACCAGCTGCTCTGGAAGAAAGGCCAATTTGTATAAAATAACAAAAAAATAACAACAAACATGCCTTTGAATCAGAAATCCGGGGTTTTTCCTCAGAGGGCACATCTAGAGGTGGAAAAATGTACTGCACCTTAAGCCTCTGGTTGACAAATGGCCAACAGTGCTATAACACATTGTTTCACAATTATATTCTCATATTATGTTGTTTATTTTGAAGACATACTCATAAGAAATGTCTCGCCAAATCTGCGTCAGTCTAGGTGCATCCACACACAATTGCAAGCACACTCTGTGATGGACATCTTCTCGTAAATGGACATCTAACTCTACTGGCTAATGCTGAGCGGTGCTCAATTTAAATAGCATGGATCCATACAGGACGGGGGATGGGCTTACCCAAATAAAAATATCATGTATTGCCTACATTACACCACAGTACAGGGAAAGCTGTTAGTGTAAAGTTATGATTACTAGTTGTCTAAGAATGTTATATTTGGTGCAAAAAGTAAAAAGTATTAAGTATTTTTACATTTTGTGTGTAATTACTATATCATGAAAACAATTCAGTTACAACGGCTTTAGATACCACAGCTTTTCTGTTCATTTCAAAACATAACTATTTTGCAAAAACATGTATTATCTAAGTTATGTATCTCAGTGATAACATGAAAATATTTGTCGAAGCATCACTTTTTAATTTCAGATAAATGCATGCTTTGGTTCCACAGCCCACTTTAGGCTAAACTATCAACAGCAAAAAAAAGCTGCACATATTAATGCTTACGCTCTGCCCTAAGCAGGGGGTTCGGAGCTTGCTTGCTGTCAGGGTGGCACTGGCCCACCATGGACCCCTCCTAGAACTGCCCCTGGTCACAGAGGCATTATCTTCCACACCACTAGGAGTAAAAGTCAATGTCTCACTGTGAAAACCTGCAGTGAAATTCAATTTCTGGCCAACAATCATTTTTTAAGCTGACTGTGGCTTAACAAAACCTGTCTCCATCTAATCCATCTCAGCAAGACGTCTTTATCGGAACTGAACCTTTGACAATCCTTATGTCAAAGTACTCATGAACCCAGTGCCTGTTTCTGGCCTCATTACAGGGGTTAATGAAAGTAAGAACCTCAAGCTCCTTTTGCAGCTCTGGTGGGACTCAGAGTTAGGCAGTCGGGCCCAGAAACCTACTTCTGCTGTAACTTCTGTGACTGAAAAAACCCACACAATAGAAAAAAATACACACACATATATATATATATATATATATATATATATATATATATATATATATATATATATATATATATATATATATATATATATACACACATATATATATATATATATATATATATATATATATATATATATATAAACAGAGAGAGAGAGGTTGTTGTTTCATTTAAATAAATGTTGAAATATGCAGAATTTATTTGTACAATTTATCTTTTCAATGTCCACCAATCAGACGATTAGCATTCAATTAAAAAAATGTTAATTGAATGACATGTTTTAAAATGTAAGGATCTAGCATAAAGCTCACAATTAACTACTATAGTTTGAAATTAAAGAAATCAAGTTAGAAAATAAAGGTCTGTTTTACAAAAAGCCAAAGGTCAGGATAAATATAAAAAGTCAATTAATTGGGCTTAATGTGTGGAATTGATGTATTTTTACATGTGATAAAAAGGTTTGAACATCATTTTTTACATTTCTCTCAGGATCGAGGCTGCATTTTTCATTCTGATGTTGATGATACTGCATGTTGTAAAAATGAAAAGCTACAGAGTTGTTTTGCTTTTATATGGTGTATGCTAATAACATGCAATCAAACATTTGATCTAATTCAGTTTTAAATCTGTTTCTCTTTGTATGGTATTTGTTTCTCTCTTCACCTGTTACGTCTAATTTTAAAATAAACTTTATTTAGTCATTCACAAATGAAGAACACACCCTTGGCTATAAGAATTAACCAACAGATGCACACGACGATATGGGATCAAGAGATAAAAACGAGGCGTTGCATCTGTACCGAGCCCAGTCCCATCAATTTGGCAGCAAGTGTGTTACCATGCCTACGGGTCCAAATCGATACTGCTTCCAAAAATAGCACACAGTCACAACAGTCTTACTTCCAGTCGCCGAGGGATAAACATGGCAACAGCAGCATTTAAGTGAGTCTCAAAGAAAACGGTTATGCAAAAGTGAGAGTTTAATCCCTAACACAAGGTTTCTCCAGGAAAGCCCTATCCTGGATTTCACTGGCTGCTACTGGACTCTAATAGAGTCAGATTCCAGCTGAATTCACAACAAATCATTAAATAGAAGAAGATGAATTTGACAATGAATCATTACAAATGATTTAAATTGTAACGCAGGAAAATGGTCAGTAAGCATGAAAAAGCCTCCGGAACTAAGAGCCCATATAGGGGTGAGTCACAAATTGGTCATTTAGGTCACAATTACGACTATATAACCACAAAATGACGGAATGCCCTAGATGTCCGATACGATCTGCTTCAAAAATAACTGTGTCACTCCAATTCTGATGTCGAGGGACGAGCTAGAGCTACGACATCAGCCCAGAGAGAGGCAGTGGTGCAGACAGACAGGCAGGAGAGAAATCAGGATGATGAGAGTAGACGTGAAAGCAAACAGGAAGACACCGAATGTCAAGAATAAAATGAAACCCCGACAAGCTGGGTTGTTCCGAACGAACATCAGCATGTGTCTGACATGATCCGGCTGCAGTGGAAACCAGGTGGAAGGAAATGTGCATGGCTCAATGGGAGTGGAAGCAGGATAAGTAGGTGGATTTCTGAGGGAGACGTGATGCTGATGTATTTTTGTGCCAGGAGGCAAAGCTCTGGTACTCATTCCTGCAGTGTGGGCAGGACTCCATTCATCGATTTCATTCAGCTTCTACCTTTTCTTGACCTCTTTCAGTATTTGTGTCACTCTTTCCCTTCACAGCTCTGGCTGCGAAAAGGGACACAAACGTTCATAAAAGAGGTGAGGAAGCAAGATGCTTACCCCATTTTGAGATTTGAATTCATCTTCTTCAAGAAAAAGAAGACAGAAAGCTTTATGCAACAGATTTGCACTAAAAGAGTTAGAAAAGTTGTGTTCATTCATCCTTTTCTTTAAACAGTGCAAAGATTTCTCACCTGTTTGCCCTCCACCGTGTAGATCTTCTTCACCACCCCAGAGTCGAGCTTGATGGCTTCGGTGATGTCGGTCAGGACCTGCTCGTAAGAATGGGCTGTTTTCTTGTTCAGCAGGATCCTCACAGCTTTCCGAGGCTTAACTCCACTCCGCACCACCGTCACAAGCTTTGGACGGATGAAGTCCTTGCTTTCGCGGCCCTCTGGGGCCCCAGGCTTTGGGCTGCTCATGGAGAGAGGGCTACGAGAAGACGCCTTGACGTTCACCGACCAGTTGGGGTTCACATTCTTTGTGTAGTCTAGCTTTTTGTAGGCTTCGATGGAGCTGCAGATGTAGCTTTCACCTGGTAAGGTCAGAGAGGAGGAGTTGGAATCAAACAGCCTTGTTGTAAAAAATTCAGATCATGTATGAATCTGAGAGAAAACAGAGCAGTTCCTCAGCCTTGTCTAGCCTGTGAGGCTGCTTAGTCTTCTGCCTGAGGGAAGTAGGGTGAATTGTTTTGGGCTGGATGAATGGAGCCCATCTTTGATTTCTTTGTTTTGGTTTGACATAAATCCAGCATAGTCCGTTAATCCGAAGTCGTGGTATAGGGGTGTAATCACTGGTTTGATCATGTTATGATGCGATTTCAATATAGTGGACTGCCATTCGGTGTTTGACGATATCTCAAAATTACCATTTTAAATTAGAATCGATTTAGGAGTCACTGATCGATATGAAACAAGTGATCAAACACAATCATTTCTCACAGGAGAGACTATTTATTTTCATAGACTGTTTTCTCACTGTTGGCAAAACTTCAAATTAAAAGTGCGTTAGATAAATAGTTATTGAATTGAGCTTTTGTGTTTTGGATCAACGATAAAACAATCCATGTCTTGTCACGGTGATTGATTAGTTGAATTAAAGTTGCAATAAAATAGCAAACATTTAAAATGCTAAACTAATTTTAAACACTTTTAATAAGAAAATAGCTCAAACGTATACTATTGCTAGGAGTTTTTAACTAATTAAGATGGGCTTTATTTTGCATGATAATGTACACCAATGTTTATCCATAAACCATGAATAAAACAGATGCACCGATTCTGGTTCTGAGGGCCGAGATCATTTTCAGATTTGTCTACAGCTTTGACCTGCCAATATCAATTCTGGAAAATTCAAGTTTATTTCTAATAATCAGTTGCTCAAGAGGTAGAGCGGGCTGCCCAGTAATTGGAAGGTTGTAGGATTGAGCCCGGCTGCTGCTGTGTCCTTGGGCAAGATGTTGCCTCCCGGTGGTGGTCACAGGGACCGGTGGCACCCGTCTTCGGCAGTCTTTCCTCTGTCAGTGCGCCCCAGGGCAGCTGTGACTACATTGTAGCTCGTCCCCACTAGGCTGTGAATGAGTGTGTGTGTGTGTGTGTGTGTGTGTGTGTGTGTGTGTGTGTGTGGGTGAATGACTGATTGTGTTGTAAAGCACCTTGGGGGGGTTCTAGGACTTCAGAATACGGGCCAAAATTTGACTTTTTTTCATGTTTAACTTGAAAATTATGAATCTGCAAGTAAAATCCTCTATATTGGAGTATCTGTAAAAGGTTTAGAGTTCACAGACTGAAAATGTCATGTTCTTCTTCTTTTTTATTGCTTCTTGGAAAAAAGACAAATCTGATTACTGAGTGTCAGATTGACCAAATCCAAATTGTACACCATCTGAAACATCACAATGTTTTATGTTACGATACTGAATCGATATTTAAAAGCAGTGTATCAATTTATTATTAAGAATTCACTTAAGCCAGGTGGACACTACGAGACTTTTTTACTCGTAGCATCCTGCTTCATCTTAAATTGTACAACTTCCTCGCAGAGCAACTCTCACATGTCATGTGCTCACACGGTACAACTGAGTTCTCAGATGCAACCTGACTGCTCACACTTTACACCTGGTAGAAACGTAAAAAAATGCTAAAAATAGCTGTTTTTGCGCAATTCGTCAGACTTTTGATTGTGTTGTTACTGATGTCTGTTGTCCCTCGGGATTGCTGTAGGGGGAGGACACCTTTATATGTGGGGGTTGTAGGAGGAAGACGAAAGAAAGAAAGAAAGAAAGAAAGAAAGAAAGAAAGAAAGAAAGAAAGAAAGAAAGAAAGAAAGAAAGAAAGAAAGAAAGAAAGAAAGAAAGAAAGAAAGAAAATCAATGTTTGTGATGTTTAATTTAACATAAACACAGAAAACACGCTTTCTCAACAATCCTTGTCATTGTGTGCAAAAAAAAGTGTATAAATAAAAACGTATTACGTGCATTAATAAGGAGCCGTGTTGACACGTGCTGTGTGTGCAGTTCTGGTACTTTTGAGTCGCAATGCTGCTGCTTTAACAGTTCAAGGCCCTCTCGACTCACGAGGAATGAGCAAAATATATCGGGATCTGGTCGTGAGTCGTTAATCGCCTGTCATTACCTGCAGTATACTACAAAAGCAATGGCGCCCACAAGGGGTGGCTAGGGGTGGCCATGGCTACCCCTAGAAAATTAGCTAATTAATGTTCACTCAAACTATAAATTGATCTTATTTATTCAAGACATAATTGTAAAACAAAATAAAAATAATACAATTAATGAATAAAGAAATAATCAGAATAAAAAAATACATACGCTTCTGCTGCTCACTGTTTAAAAAATGTTTTTATCTCCATAGTTTTTTGTGAACACAGCAACAGGTGAATTAAAATAAAAAAAATTTGATTTTAAAATTAATTTGGAACTAACATTTTAAATAACTAAATGTTTGTGTTTGTGAAATGTAAGTTAAATGTTTTGGATACATACTGTTTTTTTTAAATAAAAGTGAATAAAAGAGCAATGCAATACATCGCCAAAGGCTAAACTCTCTCAGAGCTACCACAAGGACGAATTTGGTGTGCCACCCCACAAATGTCTTCGGCCCGTCTGGCCACCCCTATCAAAATTTTCTGGAGGCGCCCCTGTACAGGAGGCACAACACAAAACTCTGCTCAAAAATTCACGCACGATAAAATTGGGTAAAATTGGCTCTAAAAAGTCGCACAGTGTCCGCCTGGCTTTACAAAGATTTACAGTATTTGTGACTCAATCTCTGACTGCTGGCGACAGTTTTCACCACCTTCATTCTATCGAAACAACATTTCGCCATAACTCTAATGTGTTGTGGAAGCATCTGCCTGACTTTTCCCATTCGATTGTCTTTAAAGAGCAAGTCAACCCCTACCAGAGTCCAACTCCACTCTCACTTCATGTTTGAAAAATGCAACAAATGCTGTTGCCTGGCAGACCAAGAAGGCGGAGCTGCTAACAAATACACACACACACAGGCTCACGACAGCATTGTGACATCATAATGTACCAGTTTACATCATAGCATACCTCTTAGCCAATATCGATGGCAGATTTAAATTAAAATATAGTGCAGAGTTTTTACCTGACAATGGCACAACACTGCCAGTTTTAGGCAGAATATTTAAATTTTAACTAAGATACAGTGCCAAATTATTGACTACATGTGTCTGCAGCACGATTAGACACTCGTTTATTTAGTTTATCAGCCAAAAAAGTTTATTTGGGAGTGACTTGCTCTTTAAACTGCATATATCATCTTTACATAGGGTAACACAACATCATCTCCTATCGTATGCCAGAGTTTTGCCATCACACACCCCTGGTGAATATCAGCGATTCCAATCAGCCGATTTCAGTCACCAAACGTTTTTATTTTTGTGTGAATTTACTTTAAAAGCATAAATATTAAAGATATGTTTCTCACTTAAGCCTTGCCAATGGTGCCGCGGGAAAGGGAGCTGGAAGATCACACAACACAAGTCAGGACCTTAAAGTCCAGCTCTCATGAATAATATTTAAAGGATCAGAGCAGGCTTTGCTATTTAAAACTCACCTTCTAGCAGCTGATCAATGCTGGTGATTTTCTTGCCATCCAGGGTATAGATGGTTCGGACGCCCTGGGGCAAATTGACGTTGTCGGACAGCGAGCGGGTCAGATCCGCAAGCAGCGCGTCAAAAGTCCGGAACCTGTCCGCGGAGATGGCGTACACGATCCCATTGAAGTAGCGGTCACCGTTGCGATAGAAACGCACTTTTTTGGCTCTCTTCTCCACGGTGAGGGTCTTCAGGGTCCGAGTCCGGTACAGGCTGCAGTGAGCGCTGTGTGTGGGACTCGGAACCCCGTTCAGCATCTTGGCTCCGGACCGGCCGAATCTCTGACCTTTGTCCCGGTCGTCGAAATGCTCCATCTCCATGTCGAGGCTCACGAGTACGGCTGTACTGTCTGAGGGAGCGGAACAAAGAAGGGAGGGGAGGGTGAAAACTTTTTACGGTTTGTGAAAAAGGCAGAAAAGCAGGTAAACAAAAACAAAGATGAAGAGCGGAATCAGGAGAGGCTGGTAAAGCAGCCAGCCGGTGTCTTAGAATAACTCCCTAATGACAGATTAAGTGCTCTTAAGCCGAGAGGCGGACGGCGCGCTTCACGACGCCCGTCTGCGGCTGGGGGTGCGTCGGAGTTCGGATGAAAGAGCGGCAGTCACGAATCCCTTTGAAATATTACCAAAATATTTAACATCACCCAACCACCTCTATCGTTGCGTAATACATGGTAATTAATAAACATGAATAATAATGTCAAGTCTAGACTTCAGAAGGTCTGATGGTGCTGATGAGAATGTCCACCCATCACTTATAGCAGCGCTTACCGACGCGAGCAATCAGCGCCTCGGTCACCTCCAGCCTGGGCTGATGTGTGGTTTCCAGCAGATGTTTTAGTAAAAATAAAAAGATTGAGCTGATTGGAGTTTTGATGCTGATGTAGTCAGATCCCCGCCTTGGCTGCAGAGAGCCACCTGCTCCTCTCCGTGCGTTCCTTCCTTTGTTGTCCGGTTGCTCCACCACCAAGTGAAGTGTGTGTGCGTGTGCGTGTGCGTGTGTGTGTGTGCGCGCAAGAGAGAGAGAGAGAGAGAGAGAGAGAGAGAGAGAGAGAGAGAGATCGCTGTGTGGCAGCTGTTTCACCCTCCCATCCTTCTCTCACCACCACCTCCTTCACGTCACACTGTCGTGATTTCCATTCAGCACCCCCTCCTTAAGTATGCAAGCCCACGCTCCACACGCGTGCATGGGATGCTGCTGCTCCTGCACCCTCCCAGCAAGGGGGTGGAGGGGACACATCACTTACACATTAGTTTTAAAAGCCTCAAATTTTATTTAAAAAATCTCAGGTCGAAAATGTATTCTACATTATAATTCAAATGTTTTATTCATTTATTCTAATATATCACACATTGTTTATTTTTAGTGACCAGAGACCATCACCACCACTTTAACACACACACACACACACACACACACACACACACACACACACACACACACACACACACACACACACACACACACACACACACACACACACACACACACACACACACACACACACACACACACACACACACACACACACACACACAAACACACACACAATGATTACACACAAACACACAATGATTTTTTTCCAGAGACGAGGATTCGAGTCACACTTACAAAGACTTGAGACTAGATTTGTGTTCATGACCTGACCTGGGACTCCAGGTTTGGGACTTGAGAGAATCTGAGAAGGTGAACACGAGCTGGATGGCAACACAGAACTTGTGTTCTGATTCATGGATGCACAAGCAGGACTGAATCGGAGGTTGCTCTACTAATGAGCCACTTTTGTCTGAAACTTAGATGCATTCGTTTTTATTAAACTTGATTTGGACTTAAAGACTTGAAACGTGGGGGGACTTGACTTCTGTGCCTCTAAAAGTTTCAGTCATTATATATTTAACATTTCCCCTCAACAACGTGTTTATTTAATTGTCCTTTAGTTTACATCATTTTTTAAACACGGAGTGATTAAGGTGTGGCATTTTTGTAGGAATATATCAAGCAACAGCGTCCGTTACTTTCTATATTTTTCTCCCAACAATTATTTTTTTATTTGGGGATGCAGTCACAAGAACCCGGCGTGCATCACAAACTAAGGGCTGGCTGATGAGGTGTTCTGGTCTAAATGAATCCTGAACAAACTGGAGGAGACTGTTCTAGGACGAGTGCCAAAAAGACGAAGGACAAGAACAGAACTAGTTAACTGTTTTAAGAGTTTTAATATATGTGGTTTATGCAAAAATTCTCCAAGTCAATATTCAGCCAAATTTGATGGACTTAGGTCTCAAGTAACTTACCTCAAATGACAGAATTCAGTAAAATAACTTGTTGTGTATAATAACAGAGCATGTATTGTGAAGGCATTTTATATATTCAAAATGTTTCCCTACATTTAGCACATTTTCATCATACTTAAAATGAAACTTTCCTAAAAATGGCCATATACAAACATGTTTACATTTTATACAATTTCAACTAATCTAAATGCTAATCTACATCTAAACGTAAAACTGAACTTAAACTCTGATCTAAATTTAAATTTCAACTATACATGTTAAACCTAAAAGTTAAATATAAATGCTAAAACTAAACTTAAATGATAAATCAAAATGTTTATTTTAAATGTTAAACCTAAATGTTCAATCTAAATGTTAAACCTCCAACCTAAATGTTAAAGCTAAATGTTAACTCAAAACTTTAAACCTAATGTACGTCTAAACCTAAATGTTAAAACTAAACTTAAATGTTAAATCTAAATGTTAAGCCTGAATGTTAAATCTAAATTGAAATGTTCAATCTAAATGTTAAACGGCTAAACCTAAAGCTATTTCAACATTCAAAACTCTGCTCACCCCTCCGTCTACACCTCCTACCAACAATCTATCAGCTGACACCTTTGCCTCATTCTTCACTGACAAAGTGGCAGCTATAAGCAAACAGTTTACTCAACTGGCCACTCCTGAACATTCACTACCACAAACTCCTTCAAGCCCAACCATCTCAGGCCCTACTGCTTCATTTTCCTCTTTTTCCCCTCTCACTGAGAACTGTGTGTCCAAGCTTCTCACGTGCAGCCGCCCTACTACATGCCCACTCGACTCCATTCCAACTAAGCTGCTCCAAGCTATTGCTCCTACAGTAGCCGCAGCAGTCACACATGTGATCAACGCTTCACTGACATCCGGTACATTTCCCACCTCTCTCAAGCATGCTCAGGTTAAACCGCTGCTAAAAAAACACCTCTTCCTCCAAATCATGTGGAGAACTACCAACCTATCTCTCTCCTCCCATTTCTGTCCAAAATCATTGAAAGGGTGGCTTTCAAGCAGATCACAGAATACCTCTCACAAAACTGTCTGCTTGACCCTTACCAATCTGGGTTCAAAAAGGGCCACTCCACTGAAACTGCTCTGTTAGCAGTTAAAAGAAGCTAGAGCGACAGGCAAATCCTCAGTGCTTATCCTGCTCGACTTACCGGCTGCATTTGACACTGTCAACCATGGCTTCCTTTTGTCCACACTCTCTAGCATGGGCATCACAGAGAAAGCACACGCCTGGTTTGAATCGTACCTCACAGGACAATCATTCAGTGTATCTTGGCTTGGACAATCCTCTACCATGCACCATCTTGCCACAGGAGTCCCCCAGGGCTCTGTATTAGGACCTCTTCTCTTTGCCATATACACCACCTCACTGGGTGAGATCATTCGATCACATGGCTTCTTCTACCACTGCTATGAAGAAGACACCCAGCTCCATCTGTCATTTCCACCGGACGACCACACTGTCTCTGCACGAATATCAAACTGTCTCTCTGACATATCAAAATGGATGAAATCCCACCATCTCCAAGTCAACCTCTCTAAAACTGAACTACTTGTCATCCCAGCAAAACCATCCATACAGCACAATATCTCAATCCAGAATGACTTCCTATCTCTGGCTCCTTCAAAGACAGTTCGAAATCTGGGTTTTGTGACTGATGAACACCTGACCTTTAAAGATCATGTTGCCTCTGTTGTTCGTTCATGCCGCTTTGCGCTGTATAACATACGAAAGATCAGATCATACCTAACACAACATGCCACCCAGCTCCTGGTGCAATCCACTGTCATCTCCTGCCTCGATTACTGCAATGCCCTTCTAACTGGTCTTCCAGCCTGTACTGTGAGACCTCTTCAAATGGTCCAGAACGCAGCGGCGCATTTGGTCTTCAACCAGCCAAAAAGAGCACACGTCACCTCTCTGTTCATTGAGCTCCACTGGCTACCGCTAGCAGCACGCATCAAATTCAAATTGCTAACACTAGCATACAAAGTCTGAGATGGTGCGGCTCCCATCTACCTGAATCCTCTTGCAAAAGCTTACGTCTCGGCCCGGCCGCTCCGGTCATCACAGGATCGTCGGCTAGCAGCGCCTACACCACGCTCAGGACAATCCAGACTCTTCTCATGCATCGTTCCACAAATGTGGAATGACCTTCCAAGCACTACCAGAACAGGGGCTTCCTTTTCATTTTTCAAGAAACTCCTGAAGACCCTGCTCTTCAGAGAGCATCTTCTTAACTAGCACCCTCCCTGCACCCGTCCCCACCTCTCTACTGTCCACTCCTTGTTCCCTCCTCTCCACGATTGATGTCAAGTTGTTGTTGTTAGCCTCAAGGGCATCATGACGATTATCACTTGTAAGTCGCTTTGGACAAAAGCGTCTGCTAAATACATAAACCTAAATGTTAAAGCTAAATGTTAACTCAAAATTTTAAACCTAATGTAAATCTAAACCTAAGTGTTAAAACTAAACGTAAATGGTAAAACTAAATGGTAAATCTTAATGTGCAAGTTAAATCATTTTGTCATATGCAAAATTCCCACACTCCTTAAACTATCAGCGTTTGTGGTCGTGCCCACAACAAAGGTTGACCAGTTGTGCAAATTTTTTTTTTTCACAATGGACACTGACTGCATATCATTGGACATCTTAGCAATGGTTATAGCAAAGAAAGATTTAGCTCAAATATTTAGATTTAACATATTTTAGATTTAAAATGTTGGTTTAGATTCAACATTAAGATTAGCTGAAACAATGTTATGTTTGTATATCAGCATTTTTGGGGCAATATTCATTTAGAATATGATGAAAGTGTGTTATATCTGATTAGTCTGTTTCATGTACAACTTACACTTGGCATCCCATAACAGACTGCTTGCAAACAATACAACTTTTTTTTTCTACAATTATACACATCGCATCTCCACAATTCTACATAGCACAGTCTGCAATGAGAACATGGTTCAAAATTCTCTAACTGAGACTCCTTTTGCATTTCCATGTTTCCATCATAGTTCACATCTCTGCAAACACATCTCTCTTTTACATTTTTTATGCTTTCACTTGTAGGTGTTACTTTTCAGCTCCCACATGGTGATCAGGGACAGAGGAGCTAACACATTTACCAAATGTAAGCAGCAGTTTTGCATTTCATCATGGTTTAACAGTCACTGTTATGATTTGTTACTGCTTAATTTTTCTGTTAAGAATGTCTGAGTGATTTACTCTGTTCCAGCGTGATGTACAAGCAGAAAACAGCTAGTTTTTCTACGTAAAACCCAGATGGACAGGGAGCAGGAATAATTGTGCCTGTTCTTGTGTTATTTTTAAAGATTTTTATGTATAAATATGCTATAACTAGATTATGAGTAACAGATATACTAATAAAAACACCCAATTACAGCCAAGTGAAACTAGAAAAATTAGAAGCTGGTGCAAATGTTCATACATTTCCGTAATTCAGCATAAAGCGAGAAACCATCTAAAGGCTCATGTGTTTTGGATTAATTAAGTGATTAGTGTGATGATTTGAGCCAAAAATATTCTAATTGTCTGAGACTTTGAATTAGGGGTTTTCGTAAGCTGTAAACCATCAACATCACAGTTAAAGTCTGAAAATATCTGGCTTTGCATGTAATGAGTCCATCTCATATATTAGTTTCACCATTTAAGATGAATTACTGAAATAAAGCAACTTATTTTAATCTTTTGAGAATCTATGAGGAATTATGTGGAATTGAATTTGATCAGTCAATCTAAAACCAAAACAAAACAGAAGCATATTTAGGATTGTGCATTGTCAGCAAAACAGATGAGCTAAAGAGATGGGAGTCTTACTTTTTTAGACTTGGATTATGAATGTTACACCCAAAATGAGAACAGAAAATGAACTTGATGTGTAGATTTTTTAAAAATAAGTGGATTTTGGAGGTGTAATACAGTGAACAGTTATGCACATTGTACATAATTCTGCATGAAATGTTAGATCCACACAAATCCAACAAAAGTTGGCAACTGATACACTTCAAACAAATACAAAAAAATGATCTTTATTTTATCCTGGAGATTTTGTTATTCCAAATGTGAAATGAAAGAACCAGATAAAGTCAAGAAGTATCAATCATTGAACCAAATGAGAGTGAAACCCATGTTTTATACAAAAAAACTGGGTTTTATTATAGTCTGAACACATTAGCACAAGAGTTTTGGGCACAAAAAGTGGATTTTGAAGGATTTTTTTTTAATCTTCAGGCAGAAAATGCAGAAAAACAGCTCAAGTGTTTGGAATGAGCAACGCTCACATAGAATAAAATGCGAGTTTATAATATGATGCAAAAAGAACATTTTGGCTTACATAATATGTGATGTTTACTGCATTAAGCAAGCAAATCTTAAATATCTTAGTTTATCCAATAGCTGGTCTAATACCAAACCATTGTTCTGTGTGTTTTGGTGATGCTGATTAAAAGTGAAGCTGTGCTCCAGTTTTCTTCAGCAAACTAATTAGGGCTTCTGGCAGTTTCTCATCTCAATATTTCACCTCCTCCTGGCACTTTTCTGACACCCACATGCATAAAGATGGTCAGTGGGTTGGACGGGGGTGAATGCCCACACTGTGGGTGACCTACATGCACAGAGATTGGTGGATGTGGTGCTGCTTACGTAAAACACGCTGTAGGAGTTGTTTTAAAGGAGAAAAACATAACCGCAAAAGAATGTCAGACTCAGCGGGCATTTTAACAGCTTGCCTCACCACACACTAAGCCTGTAATAATAACACAAGTTTAAATTGGTTATTTAAAGCAGAAAAATCTGTAAACTAAGATTATTTATAAACCTTCAGCTGTTTAAACAAGTATTTAACACATCATGTAAACAGCAACTACAGTAGCAAAGTAATCAGCCACTGAAATATGAGGTATAGATGGCGGGTAACTTTTCCCTTTGGGGTATCTTTTTCACTCCTCTCTCTGTTGTTGAATCACCTCCTCCTCCTCCTACATTCACGTTCCCGCCAATTCCATCTCCTTCTTCTTCCTTTTCTTTGTTAGATTTAATCGGTGACTTCTTGCTGGTCTGCTTCCCTCTAAGTGGCAAAAGATGGCATAGAGAGAAGCAAACATTGTCAAGTAAGCAGCTATAAGACACATTCTAGTATTAGTAGATAGGGTGGGATGATACACAGTAATCTCAGTATAAACCACATGCTGAATACTCCAAACATCAGATGTCTAAATCTGTTCCTATGCTCTATAAAACAAGTGATGTAATAAACAAAAAGGCCTTGTTTTGGTAAATAGTTCTGCCTTATTTGTCATATGTATGTATGTCTGATCTCAGAATTGTGTGTACTGAAACTCTAATTTCCCTCTGGGATTAATAAAGTATTTTTGAATTGAATTGAATTGAATTGAATATTGTGCCGAGATTTGGGGGAATGTGAGAAAAAAATGTAGAGTCTGTGTTGAAATTACAAAAAGGGCACATTAGAATTGATGACAATTGCAGAGGGATACCAAATAAAGAGGAGCCAGTTGAGGTGGCTCAGGCATCTGGATGCCTCCTGGATGCTTCCCTGGTGAGGTCCAAATGAGAGGAGATCTAAAGGCAGACCCAGGACATGCTGGAGGAACTGTCTCTCAGCTGGCCAGGGAACGCCTTAGGATTACCCTGGACGAGCTGGCCCAAGTGGCTGTGGAGAGGGAAGTCTGGGCCTCTCTGCTTAGGCTACAGCCCGAACAACCCAACCCTGGATAAATGGAGGAGAACGAACGAACAAGTGGACTGACTGACTGACTGACGGACGGACGGACGGATGGAGGGATGGATCGATATGTACATCAATTCATGGTGATTGTATAAAATAACTGTTTTAACTATTGTTACTAGCTTAGAAGTATATTTAAAGAGACATTATTTTTGCTTTTTTAAATTTCAACATCAAACTGTTGTTGAAAATTAATTAAATGATGCCGAGTTGTAAAAAAAAAATTGGCAGTTTTGTAACACATAACCATAAAAACTTGGTTTAAAAATACACGGGAACGGGTCTAAGGGTGTTTCTCAATGTCACGGCTCCTGGCCTCGCCGCGGTCACGTGTTGCAAGTTACGGGTGAATAAACGTTCATATTATCAGACTATTTCCGTGATGCATTCTTCAATGTGTTCCGTGTCTGTCGCTAAACATCTATGAAGCGGTAAACATGGTAATGTTGACGAATGAAAAATGGAAGCAGCGTCTTGACCAATCACAAGCTTGCGGTTTCCATCTCTATAGACGGATAGTTAAAATTTGGGGCATGTCTCCGTCTTCTTCCGCAGGCCCGTCAAGGGCTTTTGCGTCGACGCATAATGGTGTTGCGTGTGTTCATCCTAACGCAGACAGAGAAGTATAAATTAGGCTTAATGGTCATCCGTTGGTAAGGTCTTACTCGAACACAAAAATTCTGCTTACTTACAATGATTTAGATATGTGCTGCCCCCTATTGCCAGGAAAGATACACATTGTCACTTTAATTCTTAATATGCTGAACAAAGAACTAATGTGAGGTCTATGTGTGTCTCTGTTCTTAGCGTGACTTCAATAAAAACATCATAAATTACTATTACTATGACTAGTTAGAGCCTTAAATACAACAGGAACAAATAACAAAAAATGGCTTGTCTGAATGCTTAAAGCAATGTTAGTTCGCTGAGTTGTGACTCACAAACCTAATAGATTTGTTTGCTGGGTTCTTCTGTCGCTGACTGGACTCTTTTCCTCTCTGGGTCTCATGGATTGAAGTCAGCTAAAAATGTCAATAATAGCATTTTAATAAATAATGAAGCTTTTTTTAGTCCCCTGCTGACATGTGAAAAGCTGTTTATGAGATTATGAGAAAGAACAGAGTTTCATGTGAGCTCTGCAGAAATTTAGTTCTGCAACAAGTCAAAAAGTTCTATTGTAAGGACTTTATTGTTCTGCAACAGATGCATGCACGAGACATCATAGCTATGTCTGCAGGAGAAGAGCCAGAGTGTGGTCTTTATGCTATTTTATCATGTTTATAAGATATTATTTATGCTTACCAAAGCTATTTCTTTTAGATACGCCCGCCTCTCATCGTTGGTTTTATGGAAAGCCTTTAGGTGAAAGGAATAAAAAAAAGCATACATCTTTATTTGTTCCCGTCTATAATCATCAAACCCACCTTACCAAATCACTTGGGAGCCCTCAATAGCTCTCAGGCATTAGATTAGGGATTATGGGTTACAAATCCTGAGAGCTAAACCCGTATTTAACTAATATCACCGTCTGTTAAACAGAACAATAAACAAAGAACCATGTCACTAAACTACAAGCAGACTTGCCAAGTCAAAGCCATGCAGGACGGAGATTAGGAATAATTTTTGCATCAACTAAAGAATGTAAAACAAAATCGTTAAATAATCTTTTATAATCCAGGACTAAAGATGGTATTTTTTTTGTGATGGACATAATTATTCTGTGGAGGAAAAGGCTGCTTATCTAACACACAATACAGCTAAACCCTTAGACACTGTGGCCTTTACAAGTTTTCCTCACTGAATCCATCTGAAAGCCTCATAAAAAGGTGAGACACACCTTTCCCTCCTGCTCGATTAGAAGGTGACAGTCCATTAGGCGACTCTGGAGGTCGGTCTTCTGTTTGGTCAGGAGCTTTAGGTGATGTTTAAGATTCTCCTGCAGCAAATGATCACTTTTATTCACACAGCTAGATGGGATGCTATTCTACTGAAGGCTAATGAAAAGACAGATAAAATGTATAAATGCAATAACGGGATGCTGGAAATAGAAAAACTAACTGGATTAATAAATGATTACGTGTATGTTGGTGTTATGTGAGATTAAAAAGAGGATGGAATATTGAAACATGGCAACATGCAGAGTTTAAATCAGTTTTCTTTTTGTTCTCATGTGGTGAACTAATAATCTACAAGTCTGTCAGCGTTGGATTTAACACCCTGAAGCCACTTGTTAGATACACTAATGAGCATCTGTTAGCTCTGCCCTTAGGAACACACTCTTCAATGTTTAAATTTTAGTGATGTGTGTGTGTGTGTGTGTGTGTGTGTGTGTGTGTGTGTGTGTGTGGTTTTAGCATCGTAATTAGTGTGCATTACTCTCCCATGATCAGTAATCCCGTGATTACAGTACTGCTGTGATTAAACTCTGGTTTATGCAGCTGGTGTCAATGTTTTGTGCCTCTAGCGCCCTCTGCTGGTGTCCACTTCTGTCATTGCACTTACATTGAATTAATTAATCGAAGATCACTACTACAGCTAAATGAATCAAAGAAACCCCAACTGTAACACTCACTACTGCCATATCTTCATATGATCGAATGAAAGCCAGTCGATCTGTAAAGAAACGAGGAAATGTGAGCACTAGAGTGTGATCCAAATACAAAGTCATTTGTGAAGAGTTGCAAAAAATAAAAAAGCCTAAATATTGTTTTGTCTTGTCATTTATCTGCTGGACAAAGGCAATGCTCACTCAAGCTGAAATGCTGCTTAAGACTCTTTTGATGGACTTAAAATAAATTTTGCAGAAGAGTGGACAGAAAGCAGGTCCATTACAGTATATCTGAAGCATTAAGAGAGTTCTGCTTCTGGCTCTACACCTGTTTATTAAAATGGGCTGTTTTTGTGTTTATTTTATAAATAGTAGAATGTAATTAAGTGCAATATTAAAAGGTTAACGTAAATCCACATACAGATCAGATAAATTGTAACTCTTATAATGCAAACTCAGTACAAAAGTTATGGATGTTACCGTTTTCACTAATTTTCTACTTGTACTTCCTGTCGTGTCCTGTGCTCCTGCCCCTTTCTAGTTCCCCTCTCCCACTGGTCCGTGTGCTTACTGGTTCCTCAATTTAAAAGAATCGTTTCCTTTTAAGATTCATAGCCTCTAAACATACCAATCGGGTTTCCTCGGATGTCCTCCAGTTTGTCCTGAATGAGTGAAATCTGTCTTTCCAGCTGTCCATTTAGCTCTAATTGTGTCTCATACCTTGTCTTCCATTCATTACCTGAACCCAACAAAAACACATTAAAATCACACCAACCACGTGACGGGTTGATGAAAACAAACTGTTTAACACCTTCCCCATCAACGCAGTGCAGTCTGTCTTGTAGTTCACTCGAAGTTCTCCTCAGATCAGACACCGACTCTTCAAGCATTTCCCTGCAAGCAAAATATGTCAGTAGCTAGCTAGCTAGCCTCTAACTCTTAAAAAAAGCCAGATTATTATAAACCCTTTGAAAGATTTGTATGAAAATAGCTGAAAATAACTCACCTAATCTCCCTCTCTTCTTGAAGTTCAGTATGCAGACGCGACAAACTGTATTTACTGTAGTCTTCTTTAGCCATTTTTCAGACCTGAAAATCAGATGTGTTGTTAAGGGTCACCATGGAAACGGTTGTTTCCGGTTTGTTAAGTGTCGCCGCAAAAGCTAAAATAATGGTGAAAAAATAATAAAAACCGAGGAATTGATGTGCTAGAAGAATTAAAAAGAACAAGAGCTTCAGTTTAAAATGAACGTTCAAAAACTATACAAATTGATAGTTTTAGGTGGTTTAATAACATTTAATTTTAAGGTAGCTAGCTAGCAAGAACAAAGTAGCTAGTTAGAAGAAACATGACAACTATGAGCATTAATTTGATAACGAACTTTATTTCACAGAACAAACACGACATAAAATAAAACCTTTGCAAGATTAACATTGTATTGGAGATACTTTTAATGTTTTTATTACATTTTGCATTAAAATATTACTAATACAGGGCTGCCAACTTTTACCAGTTTCTTCTTAATCTTAATTTTTATTTCTCTCTCTCTCTGTGTGTGTGTGTGTGTGTGTGTGTGTGTGTGTGTGTGTGTGTGTGTGTGTGTGTGTGTGTGTGTGTGTGTGTGTGTGTGTGTAGGTTTGGAATCAGGACAGAGGTAAAGAAAGGTGAGATTTAGTTTTCCAGAGGCAAAATGAATGTAATCACAGTTTGCTATGTAAATTCACAATGCTAATTAAATATGGAGCAAAACTGATTAAATGTGGAAAAAACTATTTTCATGTACTTAGATTTTGCATTTATTTTCACTGCAGAACACTTATGTCACATGTCTTGTAGATAAGAAAGCTTATTGCCACAAGAAGGTGTCATCTCCCTCTTTTTGCTCATAAAGGGTAATTTAAAACTGAACTTGTAGCTGTAGCTAGGCCCTAGCTGCTAGGGGATTATTTACAGTAGCATAGCTCAGATAGATGACCTTTTTTTCATCCTGAGAAATTGGGGTGTGGTGTGAGGGAGAGTGAGGACAGTCAAACATGTGTGTCTCACGATCATTTGGTGAGAGTTGGCAGCCCTATTTTAACATTTATTAATGTTATACTCAGAAGTCTAACTGGAAACAAATCAAAACATTTACATTCTTCCTCAAATCTACTGTTTCCTCTTTTCCTCTTCTTTAGTCTGAGTATCTGTGCTTTTCGGCTGTGAGTGTTGTCCCTCATTTTTCTCATCCTCTTTGCCTTCTGCTAGCTCTCCACTGGGACTTCCAGCCATGGTCTTGACTGTCCGCCGGCTAGCCGTCTTCAGAAAGGCTAAGAGGCCCAGGTTGTCAAAATTGTTTGCGGCTACACCAATGTTTCCCACTGACTTGAGACCAGTGTCTGTGGCTTGAGCTGCATCGTCACCATACCTTTCACAAGTAATTTGGTGGAATTACAGAAAAAAAAGTGGTGTGGGAAAAATAGTTAGAACACAAAATGATTTTAAAAGAACTGTTAAATCTCATTGGATGTCTCTAATTCAATTCTAGATAGAATTTTTATATAAATAGAATGAATGAAAAGAGCATCACCATCCAAAACAAGCTGGTATTTAGCTACGGGTACCACCAACAAACAGCAGAAGCTTATTTTGTTTCCATATGGAAGTTTGTTTACACAGCACCAACAGCTACAGTGATCTGTATGTCCACACAGGTGTCCAGAGAAACATTCAGTTTCTGGTCACACTGAGGCACGTAGAGAACAACACACAATCACTGTAGCTTTGCACACAAAGGAAAAGTGAACTAGAAGCACGAAAATACAATTCAGGCTGCATCTTAAGGCATATGTGTGTGTATGATGCAGGTAATTTAGTATAAATAAAGCCTTAAAAAGAAAACCATAAAGACACAAACAAGAGTTTGATTATTTTTTAGCTTTACGCTGGATTTGTGTTATTTTCTAACGTAGTTAGTGACGGTGTGCACAAGACAGGGTTAACAGGATTAAGTGTTAGTTTAAGTTGCCTTTTCTCCCCAGGGAAGTCACATACTGTTGGACATGTTTATTAGATTCTCTAAGCCCCTAAATCTGAAAAGAAACAACAATGACAGCAGGTCAGATCACCAAAATACCAACAACAATAATAATGGGCAAGTAGTCTTTTCAAGAGGAACTTTACTCATATTTTTAATACATTCGCAGTGGTTTCTAGTGGAAATGAATGTCTTGTAAGTCAATCCCTGTTACAGCACGGACAATTCAGCCAGAGAAAGTAGCTTTAGACGACAGGATTTGGAGTCTTACTTCCCAATATTAGGACATCTTGCATTTGACTGGATAACAGCAAAATGACTCGGTCATGGACTCTGTGACATGGATGTTTTATCTCCCCAAACAACACAAGTCTGAAGGAGTTCTGTCATGTTGTGCAGTTGCTAATGCTAATGGTTTGCTTCTATTAGCTGAGATTTTCTCTGCTTTTTCTTGCACGCAAAAACAACAACAGCCTTTCTTGTCGTGAGTCACGATTGACGAGTTCATGAATGTCAAAGGGAGACTTGTCAGTTTTGGCTTGCTTTTAGCACCTCCTTGTGTCCGTTTGAAGAACCGAAAACAAAACATATCTCCTCTCTGTGCGTTTGTCTTTTTAACATTTTAATCTAACAGCTGAAATGTCTCCCCAGCCTTCCCTAGTGTCTACAGGAGTTATTCATCACTAAATTAAACAAATCAGCTGTGTTCATGATCTCAAACATGCAGGAAATGTGCTGGAAGCAGCCTCCAGTGCAAGGCATATAAACGTTCCAATTTACCAGGTCCAACAGGGACTGGACTGCATACTCTGAAGTTGCAAGTGCTGTATTCTGGCCACATGGGGTGGCAGGGGTCTGAGTGACTTTTTGTCGACCCTGTAAAGGGTTAACACATACTGGCTCAAGAAAATGATTTAAAAATAGAAAAAGTTGCATAGTATGCCTTTAAACTCCAAGTGACAAATCAATTTAAAAAATAATATGTAAAACTGTTTTTTCAGTGAAGCTCCTCTTTAAAGTGAGACGTTAAATTCAGAAATCGAGAACAGATGAGATATAACATGATACATTCATGGATTAAAAGGATGAATTATCACGTGGGACCAGTGAGGAGAAATAAATGAACTTACTTGTACTTCACTGTTGTGACCGTCTCAGAGGCAACACTTTTGCAAACGTGCTTTGCCCCATCTTCCAGACTCGACCAAACTGTGCATAAACCTAACATTCAAATATATCAGAAATCTATTTTCAATGTCCTCAAAAACTAATTCAAAACAAAGACAACATGCATGTATACTGTTTGTATATGTTAAAGGAACTCTAATGCGTAACTGCAGCTTCAAAAGTAAGCTCGTGCACAAGGCGCGCATGCTGTACGTGTACACTCAACGAAAATAACAGCTGAGACAGTCCCGTGTGTGTGTGTGTGGCCCGGAGGACAGAGGACAGGAGAACACGCAGCTAATTAATTAAATAATTTGGTTCTGTACCTTTCTCTTCAGCACAGCCGACAAAGGTTTAAGATGGGTCAGTCCTCCTGCATGCTCAGATCATTCCCTTCCCTTGCTTGAAAAATTGATCCGAAATGAAAGTTGAACCCACATCTTTTTATCTGAGAATTCAATGCCATTCAGCGAGTCTCAAATAAAAATTTGGGTGTCTTATTACTGTAAAAAATCTATCATTAATGTAAAAAAGAAACTCCAAATAACAAATTATGTTCACACCTGGAGTCAAACCCAGGTATTCTGCATGAGAGTCAGACATCTTACTAGGTGAGCTAAAGCACCAGTGATGTTCAACCTATCTGTAACATTTATATCCTTGATGACAGCTAAAAACACGCCAATCCAAAGAACGGTTTGGAGCGGAAAAGGCTATTTTGTTGCTAATTTGCAGGAAATATCTAGAAGAAAGTTCTACAGAAAGTAGCCAAGGGTCCTCAGAAATGTAGCTAGGTTTGTCACTAGACGATGGGAAAAGCGACAAAGTCGCCGAGTTAGCACTGCCTCTCTCTCTGCTGCTAAAACTACGGATAGCAAATGCTATACGGACTATGCCTGAGCGTGGACCCACATGAAGCAGCCTGTTCGACCAGAGCAACTTTTTCTGATTTTACAGAAAAACAGGCAATCACAGTAAAAATGCCAGGGCTCATTCTACAGGACCAGGGCATTGCAGGAGAATGTTTTAAGAAGAAATTTATGTTTGTTTATGTTTAGAATAATAATGCATTGAACTTATATAGCGCTTTTCCAGACACCCAAAGACGCTTTCACACACTCTCACATTCACACACTGTTAGTGATGGTAAGCTACTTGTAACCACAGCCGCCCTGGGGAGGTCTGACAGAGGCAAGGCTGCCATTTGGCACCACTAACACAGGCAAGTTGGGTGAAGTGTCTTGCTCAAGGACACAACAGCAGGATACCCTTGGCGGGAGCTGGAATCGAACCCATGACCCTCCGATCATGAGGCAACCCACTCTACCACCTGAGCTACTGCTGCCCCTTTTGGATTGAGATATTGTGCTGTATGGATGGTTTTGCTGGGATGACAAGTAGTTCAGTTTTAGAGAGGTTGAGTTGGAGATGATGGGATTTCATCCATTTTGATATGTCAGAGAGACAGTTTGATATTCGTGCAGAGACAGTGTGGTCGTCCGGTGGAAATGACAGATAGACCTGGTTGTTGTCTGCATAGCAGTGGTAGGAGAAGCCATGTGATCAAATGATCTCACCCAGTGAGGTGGTGTATATGGCAAAGAGAAGAGGTCCTAGTACAGAGCCCTGGCGGACTCCTGTGGCAAGATGGTGCACGGTAGAGGATTCTCCAAGCCAAGATACACTGAATGATCGTCCTTTGTTATTTCTATACACGTTTATTATTTCTATACATGTTTATACTGTCAAACTTCCTTAGAGTCCCTTTAAGATTATTATTGAGCTTATTTCATAAAATTCTGTAAATACCTTTTACGCTGCTGGATGCTACCAACTTAGCTGCATCGAAGTTGGAAGCATGGCCATCTTGGCTCTTCTTCATAGATTCTGGGAATAATTTAGGACCGTGTTTCTTCACATGAGGTGCCATCTTGTCTGCTACGTGTCCTGCAATCGTGCTCATGCCATAGACTAAAGACGTACAAAATTACACAACAAAAACAGACTTAATTACATCATTTTTTTAATCAAAGATCAATAATTGATGCACTTTAACAAAGTACTACGAACATTCAACATCCATGGCAGGAGAGTGGTTTATTTCATTTATCAAATTATGTAAAGGTTTAGATGAATTTGGATGTGATGTAGCTATTCCGATTGGGATATACTATAGATGTTCTCACCTAAGAACTGGCTGACTCGTACAGCACCCCCTGTGGCCTGTTTAGCAGCATCCAGACCTTTGGTGACGCGTGGGCTGACCTCAGATGGAGTCTCCTCAGGTGTGATGCGGTCCCGGATCTTCACTGCTCCCTGCTGAATGGCTTTTCCCGTGGCTGTAGCTCCTTTTGTAAATGACTCGCTTAACCGAGTAGCTCCTGCAAAGATCCATTAGTTGTGCTTATTATTGTCTCAAACTAATAATTACACCCATTTGTGCAAATGGTTGTTGCATAAATGAATCTTGCTCATGAGAAAAGTGCTGAACAGCACCACCTAGTGGATGAATCTCATAAATTAACTTGGGCTGTTTAAGCTTGAAAAACTTAATGAACAAATCTTATGGATAGCTCGAGGTGTTTTTGACGAACTCACCCGACAAGATTCCTTGAGCCATCTTCTCACTCCAACCAGGAAAAATGAGCTCTTTTTCCTTCTCTTCCTCTGGTTCACTTTGCTTGTTCGGGGTTCCAAGTGGGACTTTTGTAGTCAAGTTCATGGCAACAACTCCTGTACCATCTTGGCCCTGTCAGAAAATCCACTAAAATTACTTAAGAAATTGTGAGCAGAAGAGGAAGATGGTGCTTTAACAGTTTTAATTACAAATAGAAAGAAGGTACTAGAGCTTTATATGGTTTTATTATATAAGAATGACAAGATAAACACGTGACGGAAAGCACACATGGATTTAGGATTCCATAAGGCTCTGCAAAGTGAATATTTGCTCACGTCATTCCACACTTTTTTGTGTCAGGCCACCAGTGTTGTGGTCAGGTCAACATCTCACGAGCCCAAGTCACACTTTAGTCCTTGGTGTTCAAGTCTTAGGAGTAGTTCAAGTTGAGACCAAGTCAGATCACATGATTTTAAAGTCCAAGTCCCAAAAAGAATCCTCCAGTCTCTGGCGAGTGGAAGCTGGATTAGTAGCCAAAGGAGACCCACGATGTAAACGTTTGAGAAGCCTTTGGAGAAGCACCCCATCACTCAAATGCATGCGACTTGTACGACGTGGAGAAGTACTTTGTCATCAGTGCAATGTTTGTGAAAATATTAAGCCTTATGATTTACTTTTATCTACTGGACAATAGTGGTGTGCATCTATACCTGCCTCACGATTCGATCCGATTCCGATTATCTGCCTAAAGATTCGATTTGAGTCTGAAATGCATCACGATTCTTCACACAAAAATTTTCATTACTTAATAAAAGCAGTAGAATAGTTTTAAATTTCTTTTTGATTTCGAAATCCCTGAAAAACAGAACAATCATCTATTCACTATAGTGAGAAATAATTTTTAAAGTGTGCTGCCTATAATTACTTAAATAATATAAGAAATAATGTTTTCGGTATAGAGCAGCTTTAAGATAGAATATTACTGAACTTAAAAATAGTAAACAAATACTGTGTTAAGTGATTCTTTCACATCCAGGATCCCAAAACCAAAATTAGCCCAGATATCCAATTTAAATGTAACGGGTACATCTTTGATTACTGGTAATGTTGGCCCTGTATCCCTGTCTGCCTTTTCTGTTTTAAATTGGCGCTAGGGCAACGCAGTGCGCATGTCATTGCAACTCTGCCCCCAGAAGTAATTGTAAAACATCAAAACTTTATTGTCCTCGCATAGACATAGACCGGGGTCGGCAACCTGTTCCCATCAAAGAGAGCCATTATTACCCGTTTCCCACAGTAAAGAAAACACTGGGAGCCACAGCAGCCGCGGCGTTGTGGGCGGGGCCTACCCTCAGACAGCAAAGAGCTGCTTTAACCAATCACAACAGGTGACAGCAGCCGGTACTGGTCGCTCGTGTATGTCAAAGTTATCTTTCATAAGACGATAATCAATAAAACGATTTATATAAAATGGATCCAGAAGTTGTAGCCCGTCTCTGCCTACAATTTTTTGATATTTTTCACCCTGTTGATGGTTTTACTGAGCAGGTGCCACTTTTGTCATACGTTTCTTTTTAAAACATGTTTAGACTGTTCAGAATACAAATCCAGGCTCTGTCACGTTTGATTGTTGTAATTAATCTTTGTAGGTGGGGAAGGTCAGAAAAGGATCGGATCATTTTGTTTTTCCTTCATTTACAGTGACTGAGATAACGGTGCAGTGCGCCTGGCTCTGGTGTTAATCAAGTTAAATTATATCTATTTGCAACAATTTTCACAAGAAAACAGAACAGTTAAAAGCAGGGCTTGTGTTGACCGGATAGTTCCCATATTTGACTATTTATTTTGACGGAGAAAGAATAGAAAGAATTACCCCGACGCATGCAGACGAACTGACATTTTATTCGTTACGCACACCGCAGATGTAGCTAAATCACTCAAGAAAAGATTCCCATCTGAACATCTGAGCTGGACACTGCTCAGCGCAGCTCGCTGTCAGCGTGTACTACATAAGGTACGCAGCGAGCTGAAGATGTGGAGAGGGGCTTGGAGCACGTCGCAGAACCAGAGCGCATGCAGGAAGATTCCTCCGACTGAAGCGAAACTTGTCACTTAGAATATGTTCCCCGATTATGAAACTTTGGCTGAATAGCGCTTGTTCCTGTCTCCAATGTGGCGACACATCCAGGAGCCTGTCTGAGGAGAGTCCCAGAATCTCACGTCCTCTTCAGCTTAGAAAGCGCCTATGATTACACACAAGCGTGACGCGTCAACCCGGTCTCACAGTAAGACCGGGTTGGAACTGTTCAGGTTTACGCAGATAATCTTTACATTTAGAATTGACATACAGATGTAAAATTAATGCAGTAAAATATAAAGCATTTTATTTAAATATCCATTCATTATTTTACAAGCACAGAGAGCTGCATCAGATGGATGGAAGAGCCGCATGCGGCTCCAGAGCCGCGGGTTGCCGACCCCCGACATAGACATAGGGAGAAAATCTCATTATGTCACGTTGCTGCATCGATGCAGAATCATGCACGGCTGAATCGCGATGCATCTTAGAATCGATCATTTTTCCCATATCTACTGGACAAACTGATTGAATAAACACAGTGGCAGACATTACGGAGGCGACGTACCTAGCTCCAGATGTACATTTGTGAATTCTGCAAGTACATCGCCACTTCATCAAAGCTAGCAGACATTTTTTCTGTGATGACACCGAACCCTCACCGTGGGTCTTTGGGGACTTAAATCACACGGAATCTTCTGATGGAGATGTGACGTTCCACTAAACCTTCTCCTTAGTTTGTCTAGCTTTGCTATGGTAGCTTCTACTCATCTTACCCGTCCAAGTCCAACTTGTGTTACGTTTGCACCCAGAAAAGTGAGTGTTTTAGCTTAGTGATGGTGTGGGGGCATCAAGTTTTTCTCCTGCATATTTTACACCTGGTGCTGCTTTTAAAGAGGGACGTAGTCACCGTTTACAATCTGTGAGCCAGCGAGGTTGTCAAGTTTGTGCCGAGACAATTCAACAGCACCAGCATTTATAATTCAACACTGGCCAGCAAAAAGCTCCAGAGTTGTTTCAAGAACCGAAGCCAGTAAACAGGAGCGACCCAGAAGATATTTCTCGTACCCCTAAGCCACGGCATCCTTTTGTTTTACTCTAATATTGGGTAAAGAAGGCTAGAAGCTAACATTGAGCTAACAAGACTAAAAGTAAATTAGTTGGCTTTTTAAATATCTCACAATACTTTTTCAATTACCAGTAATTCGATATTACAGTTAAACGTATGTGTGAAGTGAGTAATGAGTCATGACATTTTATTTCCTTTAATGAGTATTTCAGAACTATAACAGCAAGACGGCAAACAATAACATTTCCTCTACTTCTTACCGCAATAAGTGTAGTAAGTGCTCCCTACCGTAAAACACCCAAGAGTGGCAACACCAGATATAACAATGCATTCATCTACTAATCAAATGAATGTGTAAGAATCATCTTTGTTTGTCATCAACAATCTTCTGGTGCTGATCTATAACTGGCAACAGCCATGAAACTCAGAACGGTAGTGAGACAGATGACATTTTGGTTATAAAAATTGGCTGCAGTAACCAAATTTGACCACAGGATGTCATTCTTGCTTCATTCTTACATGTTGCACCTTTAAATGTAAAGTCCTTTACATGTAAAGGACTTTACATTCTAGGGCTCGAGTAACCCACCTCTACAGCTCTTAAGGTGGTTCATTCTTATTCTCTTAGTAAAGACTGACCTGGATTCTGAAATCAGAGAGCTGCGACAGGAGATCCTGAAACATGTCGCAGTCTGCAGCAGGCAGTTCAGAGGACAGCACCAAACCCACGTAGGCCCCGGGCGTCTCTGACATGCAGTCAGGGAACATGAAGATCCCAGAGTTAGCCAGCAGCACCGGAGTGTCTGCTGTCAGTGGATACATCCGTTCACACACCTGAACAAACACAATGAACCAACACAAAGTTAAATCAGATGGGTTGTCCAGATCAAAATAAAGAATGAATGACTTTTAATTTTTTCTGTCAAATTTTAAAAAATGCAACTAGATCCATGATCTTGGTGTGGTTTTAAAGTCCCTTTAAGCTTGTTTAAATAATTCATATTGACATGCAAGGCTTGGAAATTTTTTGCAGCAGTGCTATTGGGATGTTGACCCCTGTGAGGACGCAGGAACCCGACTGGCAGAACAACAGAAGTGCAGAGTCATCTGTTAATGGAACCATTGTCTTATTGGAAAACAAAGCAGCACCAGATCACCAGACTGGACCGGCAGCATTTTTTCCTTTCCTTCCATTCTGGTTGACAGGCCTCCTGATCTGATACTCTACAAATAAATTGATAATGGGGTTTCGATTTATTCGATTTATTCCTAAGTGTAGCAGCAACACATACCTTCGTCATTAGGGTATTTTTTAAATGAGCTGGTCAATCTTCTCCATATAATCAGTCATTGTGAGAAAAACACTCAGGATGACATTGTCACACCTACTTACCTCTAACTCACTCACAAAAATAAATGTCCCTAGCATGTGATACTTACATGTAAAAATGTGGAGGGTTTTCCAGTGCCGGGTACATTCGTGATGATACGGAGATAGCCTGGATGGGATAGAGAGCTGACCTGTCCGTTTGGTTCCACAAAGAACATCTGCACCCCAGAGGGGAAAGAAAGCAGCTCCTGTCCATCCCTCGCCACTCTTCTGGAGCGTCCTGACCAGACGCCGCCTCCAGCCAGGCTGCGGTGACCCTCTGTGGGCTTTGGTGTGTACGCTGGAGGCAGGTCTCCTGGATTATCCATGGTGACTGTGTTCAGAGCAGCTGCTGGGAGTCTGTGTGTGTTTGGGACAGCAGGGGGTGCAGGACTGATAGGGGCTGGTGATGTAGCTGGTAAGGTGGGGTACAGATGGTGGAGAGGGCTGTTGGAGGACTGAGAGAGTATAGCCAAGTTTGGATACAGTTCAGAAGAAAGATCAATTAAAGGTAACTCGTTGTCGTTTTCTGGTGACCTTTCCAGATCAGAGAGGTGATTGTTGATAGTTTTCATCATGTTCATCATCTTCTGCTGAAGCTGCCGGGCTTTGTCCCAGTTCTCTCCCTGGTTCCTCTCTGCACCAGTAGGAACCTCCAGGCCCTGAGTAAGATGCCTACGACCGTTCCTGTAATATCCCTGGGCCTCCTGTTTCTGGTTGGCCTCTTCAGCTGCCAGTCCCCGATTCAGGTACTGAAGGGCCATCCTATACTGGTCCGTGATGAGCAACAACTCTGCAGGTTCAGCCATACTGAGGAGCCCCAAAAATAAAGCAATGTCATATTCATGCGCTATTTCTACAAAATGATCCTAAGTAAAACCAGTAAGCACAAACTAAAAGATAACACAGCTTGTAATAGGAATAATTTGAGGTTGTGACATAAAAATAACTAAAAACGAGAAAGACAAGGTAGGTGCGCATCTTACCTGTTAACAAACCAAAAGGAAATATGGTTTGAGGCGTAGAAAGTAACTTAAAAGCTCACATGAGAACCTCTGACTGCATCTAAAGAAAATACACGTGAATAGGTTCTCAGGCATGTGCTTGTTGCTGCGGCTGCAACACACAACGAGTAACAGCAAGTTTTTCCAGAACAGCAGGACTGGTGTGGAATTCTTTCATTCTATTTATAGTTTCATTTTACAGGTGATTCCACAGCTACTTCCGGTTACCGTCGCTGCACAACGCTCGGAAAATGTAACGGTAAATCTTCTATTTGGTGACTTTTTTTGCGTTTTTCATATTTATCTGTCCACGTAATCGTGTAAAATAACCAAACAGATCTACCGGTATTTCTGTTTATTTCGACGAACAAGCGTCTTTAAAACCGGAAAAACACTACAGCTTCAATTTTCAAAATAAAAGCTTACAAATTACAAACAAAGCGAGAAACGTGTTTGACAAATAAACTATTTGTAGAGGTCTTCATTTAATCAATTAAAGACTTCTACACTATTGTTAATGTGATTTAATGAGACAAGTCAACTCGCCACATTACGTGTTTGAAAGGTTTCGTTAATTAAAAGATTATTTGCTTATAAAGTAAACAACACTTCATAAAATAAATACATTAAAACATTTCTGAAAATAGTAATAGTTAAAAAAAACATTGTCAAATCCTTTTTAAAAACTTTATTATTCAATTTTTAAATAATTACAGTCTTTAAATATAAGCAGCACAAACGTTTTATGACCTCATAAAGCATAAGTGTACAAACAGCTCAACAGTGAATTAGATCAATTGAGATGACTGTTACATGTGTTGTTAAACAATCATTAAGAACATAAATAGTGATTTTTTTAGTTGGCCAGGCAATACATACTTGTTTTCCCCAGTATATTCAAGAAATTCTGCTAGTGAAGAAACATTTCAGACGTGCTTTCACCACAGGAACATGAGAAATGACTTGCTCATCCAGACATATAAAGCCTTGCATCTTGTGAAATTTCTTCTTAATTCCCTCATGTCAAAAATATTCGGTCTATAATATTTTTCATCTTCATGGTTTACAAAAATGTTTATGTTCTGAACGTCCCTTATATGTGTGCGTGGGAAGTTTCAGTACTCAGATTAAAAACTATTTAAATCATGATGTGGTAAATCCTGCTTTAAATTAAAATACCATTCAGTGAAGCAGAAAGAAAAAAAGTAAAGTAGAAGACCTTTTTATTGTTTGTTTTTTCCTCCAGGAAGGACCTAGTAGCTGAACTTTCCTGGGATTGGGGAAAAAAAACTGATCAAAAAAGACAAAGCAAATCTTTGAAAATATCCTTATGGGATGTTTAAATCTTAAACTGTGTCTCAACTGTAATGACTACAATACTAATTTAAATGTATTTTTTTAAATGATAAAGGAAACAAAATCCAGCGTAAGAGTGACTCCTAGTGAGATGCTGACGGCAGGATGTGCTGGGTTGTCTTGCTATGAGTGTGCCGTAACTATGGTCTGATAGGAGGCTCAGAAAGGTGGACCAGGGATTCACACAAGATGCAAACCAGACGGTGGAGTAATCCCTGCAACGCTGGAATACCTGAACAGGAGAGACAAAGGACACACCCCTTTATACACGTAAACACTAAATACCAAATGCATTAAAAGTAGCAACATCCTTATAAAACCCTACGTGTTTTGATATAAAATTGTGTCAGTGTGTGCAAAACACACATCAGGAGTGTGTTTGAGGTTTTGTACCTTCCTCTGATGGCCTGTTGTGGACGGCTCTCAGCACTGACGTAAAGTTTGTGAAGATTAGTCAGGCAGGGCCGAATTTCAGTCAAGGTGTAGCCAGTAAAGGAAACTAAAGAATCAGGCTGAAACATTCAAAATGACAGGAGATTTTAAAATGTAACTGATCATGCTTATTTAAAGGTGCATACAGTAAATGGCCTGTATTTGTATAGCACCTTCTTAGGGTTCTACAACCCCCCAAGGTGCTTCACAATACATTCAGTCATCCACCCATTTACACACATTCACACACTGGTGGGGATGAGCTATTATTTAGCCACAGATGCCCTGGGGCGCACTGACAGAGGAGAGGTCTGCCACACACTGGTGCCACTGGTCCCTCCGACCATCACCAGCAGGTGGCGGTCTTGCCCAGCGACACAACAGCATTAATTTCTGTGGGCTGACCTCAGATGGAGTCTCCTCCTGATTTTGCTAGCTGCAAATCAGAACCAGATTCTAGAAGACCAGTCATACAGAGTAAGTAGATAAGTAGATAAGCATGTTTACTGTAATATTTAGTTGTTCAAGATTGAAAAAGTAGCTTAAGATATTTTTGTTTTTTAGAGACTATGTTTTGCTAATTCACTAATAGCATTATTAGCTCAATTAGCTCAATGCTGTGTTTTAAAGTAACACTATATAGCAAATTGCTAAAACCAGAGTGAACATCGGCATGGCCTACACTAGTTTGAGGAAGCTAAAGGAGGCTACAAAATCATGGACTGATGGTGATGGTGAGCTTTTTGTTGCGCTAGCTACAGTAGACTGCTACAGGGTTGTTTACAACTGTTGTAATTCCACTTTCAGCTATTAGGGTGGAGGAGCAGGAAACTGTTCAGTGTTACTTTAAGGGTACAAGAAATAACTTCTGGGCAGCTCCTTTTACTAGCTAACATTCTTTCCACAACTCTGCTGCTCTTTGCCGGTTGGTGTCGGACTATGAATGCCGGCGTAGCAGCATTTGTTAGCACAGATTTGACAAGCCCACAGGTTAAAATATAAAATGCCTTTCTCGTCTCGTCTCGTCTTCTTCTGCCTATCGGGGTCCGGGCCGCAAAGGCAGCAACCCAAATAGGGAGTTCCAGACTGTCCTCTCCCCAGCCACCTCCACCAGCTCCTCCGGTAGGACCCCAAGGCGTTCCTGGGCCAGTTCGGAGATGTACTTTCTCCCACGTGTCCTGGGTCGACCACGGGGCCTCCTGCCGGTAGGACATGCACGAAACACCTCCCTGGGGAGGCATCCAGGAGGCATCCTGACCAGATGCCCAAACCACCTCAACTCACTCCTCTCGATATGCAGGAGCAGTGGCTCAACTCCGAGTCTCTTCTGAATGTCCAAGCTCCTCACCCTATCCCTAAGGCTGAGCCCAGCCACCCCGCGGAGAAAACTCATTTTGGCCGCTTGTATCCGCAATCTCGTTCTTTCGGTCATTATCCAAAGCTCATGACCATAGGTGAGGACTAGGCTGTAGATCGAGTGGTAAATCGAGAGTCTTGCTTTCTGGCTCAGCTTCTTCGTCAACACAACAGACCGGTTCAGCGCCCGCATCACTGCAGACGCTTCCCCAATCCACCTGTCGATCTCCCGCTCCCCCTTCCCTCACTCGTGAATAAGACCCCGAGATACCTGAACTCCTCCACCTGAGGCAGGACCTCTCTCTCCCCTCCCTTCTAACATAATTGAGACATTACACTTTTGTTGTGATTACTTCACTGTACTTACTTCTTGCATCTTTAAAAGAAACTCAACATCAAAATCTGGACAAACTCACCCAGAGAGATTTGTTTATGGTGTAAGCGGCTAAGCAGTAAGTTCCAGCCGCCAATAAAGAAGGGAGAAACTGCAGGAACGGATCAGTTTCCAGCAGGCTTAACTCAGCTATGTACTAGGAGCAGAAAAAATACATAAAGTGACCGAGGAAAGAAGAAGTTTTTTTCTGTAGAAGTGTGTGATGAACTACCAGGGCGAGGTTCTCTGTCTTTGAACAGACGGGTTGGATGGACATGAACATGCAAAGGAACTGGTTGGTTGTTGGTGCTGCCATCCTGAAGGCCAGCACCCTGAGAAATGCATTCTCCATCCAAGTCAGATTTTTCCTACTGTAGATGCTGTCTGTGATGTACACAAATTCATTCAGCTCAGGAGGGAAGATCTCTTCATACTTCCTACAAAACAAATGGTGGTTTTGTTTTCAAACTGGACAGCAGCAGCATGGAAGAGGCAGCGTGCAGACACTGTTTTCCCTTACGCAGCAATCAGTAGAGCTGCCGTGCCGACCAACTGCAGCTTGCTCCGCTTGATGAACGCCGTGTGGGACAGGAAACGGTCCAAGTAGTTGATGGCGAGGTGCAGAGTTTCGGAACAGAGTTTGTATTCCTGGACAACTTCAGCGAGCCAGTCTACCAGGATGACCCTCATGCCGCTGGAGATCTCTGGATGTCTCTCTAAGTAGTTTGGCTTTGCTCTTAACATTTTCTGGATTTCAAGCCAAAATCACAAGAGTGAGCAGAAACTCCTAGTCTGACTATTTGATGAAAAAAAAAAGACTCCTCACCTCACTCTCTCTTAGGTTACGGTGAATATCATGCGCATAATCAGAAAAAAGCTTCTCTCTAGACACCAAAGAATCATCTGCTTCGTGCATCAAGTCCTCCTGGCATGAACCTGTCAGATTAAAGTTAAAGCGCATTAAGGACATATTTTATTACAAAGTAAAAATGACTTAAGCGTGTTTCTGTGTTAAGATCAAACCAACTTGAACTAATTTCCATCAGGAGACTCTGCAGGGGGTTGGCCTCAGCACCAAGCTCATCTGACACCACCTCCTGTCCAGAAGCTGCAAGAACAACTTCACAAGCCTCTTCCACGTACACGTCACAGCTGGAGCTGGACGGCCAGCCAAAAACGCTGAGCTGGGAGCTGTCTGAAACCGAACTGTGTCTGGAAAACTGGCTTCCCTGAGGCGGAGTGGGCAGCCTTGTTAATAACCAGTGAAAACAGTGAAAGGATGTTTGAAATTTAATAAATGTCAAAGCCTACCTGGCTGAAGGATAGACCATACTGCTCATTCTCTGACAAAACACCGAGCGCTGTCCGCTGTTTGGTCCTTTGGGGTTGAAAGGCCTCAGCTTTGGTGGAAGGTGGGATATTTTCTTTGTTTAAAGAATTACCAGAACGGATGTTTGAGCTGGAATTCATCTTTAAATCAGTGGATGTGGGAGAAAAGAAAAAAAAAAACACCAAACTCTTTAAAAAGCATTCCACCTCACTCATCAATCCTGCAGAAAAACCATTAATGAACATATAATTTATTCTGGAATGTGACTTCTTAACCGAATAGGACTATATATATGTGTGTGTGTGTATATATATATATATATATATATATATATATATATATATATGTGTGTGTGTGTGTGTGTGTGTGTGTGTGTGTGTGTGTGTGTGTGTGTGTGTTTATGTATTTAGCAGACGCTTTTGTCCAAAGTGACTTACAAGTGATAATCGGCATGTTACCCTTGAGGCTAACAACAATAACAACAACTTGGCATCAATCATGGAGAGGAGGGAACAAAGGAGTGGACAGTAGAGAGGGGGAATGGGTGTAGGGAGGGTGCTACTTAAGAAGATGCTCTCTGAAGAGCAGGGTCTTCAGGAGTTTCTTGAAAATTGAAAAGGAAGCCGCAGTTCAGGTAGTGCTTGGAAGGTCATTCCACATTTGTGGAACAATGCATGAGAAGAGTCTGGATTGTCCTGAGCGTGGTGTAGGCACTGCTAGCCGACGATCCTGTGATGACCGGAGCGGCCGGGCCGAGATGTAAGCCTTTGCAAGAGGATTCAGGTAGATGGGAGCTGTACCATCTCGGACTTTGTATGCTAATGTTTGCTATTTGAATTTGATGCGTGTTGCTAGTGTTAGCCAGTGGAGCTCAATGAACAGAGGGGTGATGTGTGCTCTTTTTGGCTGGTTGAAGACCAGACGTGCCGCTGCGTTCTGGACCATTTGAAGAGGTCTCACAGTACAGGCTGGAAGACCAGTTAGAAGGGCATTGCAGTAATCGAGGCGGGAGATGACAGCAGATTGCACCAGGAGCTGGGTGGCATGTTGTGTTAGGTATGATCTGATCTTTCGTATGTTATACAGCGCAAAGCGGCATGAACGAGCAACAGAGGCAACATGATCTTTAAAGGTCAGGTGTTCATCAATCACATCACCCAGATTTCGAACTGCCTTTGAAGGAGCCAGAGATAGGAAGTCATTCTGGATTGAGATATTGTGCTGTATGGATGGTTTTGGTGGGATGACAAGTAGTTCAGTTTTAGAGAGGTTGAGTTGGAGATGGCGGGATTTCATCCATTTTGATATGTCAGAGAGACAGTTTGATATTCATGCAGACAGTGTGGTCATCCGGTGGAAATGACAGATAGACCTGGGTGTTGTCTGCATAGCAGTGGTAGGAGAAGCCATGTGATCGAATGATCTCACCCAGTGAGGTGGTGTATATGGCAAAGAGAAGAGGTCCTAGTACTGAGCCCTGGGGGACTCCTGTGGCAAGATGGTGCACGGTAGAGGATTGTCCAAACCAAGATACACTTAATGATCGTCCTGTGAGGTATGATTCAAACCAGGTCTGTGCTTTCTCTGTGATGCCCATGCTAGAGAGTGTGGACAAAAGGAAGCCATGGTTGACAGTGTCAAATGCAGCCGATAAGTCGAGCAGGATAAGCACTGAGGATTTGCCTGTTGCTCTAGCTTCTTTTAAGGATTCAGTCACTGCTAACAGAGCAGTTTCAGTGGAGTGGCCCTTTTTGAACCCAGATTGGTAAGGGTCAAGCAGACAGTTTTGTGAGAGGTATTCTGTGATCTGCTCGAAAGCCACCCTTTCAATGATTTTGGACAGAAAAGGGAGGAGAGAGATAGGTCGGTAGTTCTCCACATGATCTGGAGGAAGAGATGTTTTTTTTAGCAGCGGTTTAACCTGAGCATGCTTGAGAGAGGTGGGAAATGTACCGGATGTCAGTGATGCATTGATCACATGTGTGACTGCTGCAGCTACTGTAGGAGCAATAGCTTGGAGCAGCTTAGTCAGAATGGGATCAAGTGGGCATGTAGTAGGGCGGCTGCACGTGAGAAGCTTGGACACACAGTTCTCAGTGAGAGGGGAAAAAGAGGAAAATGAAGCAGTAGGGCCTGAGATGGTTGTGTCACGAACTCTTCCTCCTCCTGACCTCCTCTGCGGGCCGGGTTGGCACAGCACTCCATTTCCCAGCATTCCCGTCACTGATGCTACTCGGTGACGTGACCATGCGGAAGCTATTTAAGGAACTGTCACCGCCGAGCTGTCATTCAGTAATCGTCTCATGACAGACGCCAAACCAACCCAACCAAACTATTCCAAAATCAATCCAGGAAAGAGAACTTTCCACGCTGTCAGCACTCCATCTAGACAGTTCTCTACCTAAAGGAACCACAGTTCAGCCTCGACTCCATGCGAGTGCTGTATCGCCGTTCCTAAAAGCAAGCTGCTTTCCTGTTAGAACCAAACGCTAGTCACTCCGCGTCTGGGTCACACAGCCACGCTACAATCACCTCCGTTACGCCTCAGCTCAGCCCATCCGCCCTGACAGGTTGGGCTAGAAGGAGTTTGTGGTAGCGAATGTTCAGGAGTGGCCAGTTGAGTAAACTGTTTGCTTATAGCTGCCACTTTGTCAGTGAAGAATGAGGCAAAGTACATATATATATATATATATATATATATATATATATATATATATATATATATATATATATATATATATATATATATATATGTGTGTATGTATGTATGTATATATATATATATATATATATATATATATGTGTGTATGTATGTATGTATGTATGTATGTATATATATATATATATATATATATATATATATATATATATATGTGTATGTATATATATATATGTATATATATATATATATATATATATATATATATATATATATATATATATATGTATGTATGTATATATATATATATATATATATATATATATATATATGTATATATATATATGTATGTATGTATATATATATATATTATATATGTATGTATGTATGTATATATATATATATATATATATATATATATATATATATATATATATATATATATATATATATATATATATATATATGACAGTAGGACATAGAGCAAGAACAATAATAATAATAGTTAAAATTTTAAAAGAAGGGATGGGATTTATTAACTCCTTTACACACAAGAAATTTAGTTGATTTTTTGTAATTGTTTTTTATTTTGATATATTATTAATGTGCAAATGCAAAAATAATTGATTATTAACTTAGTTTTCTACTGTTAATTTGACAAAAAAAAGGGTTGGTGCAAAATTTAAACATAATGAACAATTTGGTGGCACCAGCATTTTAGTTGTTTGTTTGTTTTGCATGCTTAAAGTGAGTAGAAATATATCAAACTTTAGACAACGTGTTTAAAATCATTTAGTTGAGTTTTAGCAGGGGTAAAAATGCCCTAACTACTTAAATGGAGTTCTTAGAAAATATATTACCATGGTTACAGTAGGTCTCAGTAATAAAACCAAACCGACTAAATAATAATAATAAAGAAAATACTCAAACAAAAATTTAAAATCAGTATTTAACAAAAAACATGTCATGGTAATATTTTAAAAATATTTAAGTTACGCACCATGGTGGCCTTCAACGATTTCATCAACGATTCAGTTTCTGAGTAATAAACCGAACAGGTGTGGTCTAGAACAGACCCAGTTTTGGACCAACAGCGACCTCTGGTGGCCTTTCGGCGACTTTGAGTAGCTTTCCGTCCCTACACGATGATGAGTAAACACAAATTTAGTGTTTTTCTCCCTTTCCTAGTTAGTTAGACTGATCAGCTGTTCTCTATCACGGTTAGCTGTCCAATCAGAAGCCAGTGCGCAAGCGCTGATGACACACGTCACTGCTATGGGGTGCCATTTGTAAAGTCAAACAGTCATAATCTAACAGCAATATTTTTGGTTTTTTAGCATATCATAAGAGAAAAAATTGGGAGTTCACTTTTTAGAAGTCATATTTTCATCATGTTATTCATACATTTATAAATGTTAAAGTTTCCAAATAAATATTTAGTTAGCAAGATAAATATTTAATTTTCAGTTAAATATTTATTTTGCAAACTAAATATTTAGGTATGATCTACATATTTAGTTTGTAAAATACATGTTTAATTCACCAACAAAATATTTAATTTACTAATTAAATATTTATTTTGGAACTAAATATTTAATTTGTAAATTAAATATTTATTTCCTGAAATAAATATTTAGATCCCAGCTAAAAATTTATTTTGGAGCTAAACATTTAGTTTGCAAAATCTGTATTTGGGAAATAAATATTTAAGTCCGACCCAAAAATATAAAATATAGTGTGGAGCTAAATAACATCATGGAAAATAAATATTTAGCTGGGATCTAAATATTTTTTTGGAAAATAAATATTTAATTTACAAATTAAATATTTAATTTACAATTTAAATATTTAGTTCCAAAATAAATATTTAATTAGTAAATTAAATATTTAGTTAGTGAATTAAATATTTATTTTCCCAAAAAAATATTTAGATCCCAGCTAAATATTTAGTTTGCAACATTAATATTTAACTATAAATTAAATATTTAGCTTGCTAACTAAATATATATTTGGAAACTTTAACATTTATAAATGTTATGAATAACATGGTGAAAATGTGACTTTGAAAAAGTGAACTCTCAATTTTTTCTCTTATGATATGCTAAATAACCAAAAAATTGCTGTTAGATTATGACTGTTTGACTTTACAAATGGCACCCCATACACTGCATCATCAAATATTCACGTGTTTACAGGTGAAATAGGATTGAATTAAGAAAGTTTTAGAACAGAACGGACAATAAAAGCACAGAAGGGGTCTAGAACGCATTGGAGTTCATTTTTTCTGCAGTTCGTGCAGATTTTTGTACAAGACTGCTGTCTTACAGGTGGAATTTGTATTTGACACTGACGTGATCATCTATAATTGAATGTGTGCTTTTTAATAAGGGTGTTGTAAACATGTTTCATTCAGTTTTCATTCATCATTACACCAAAGAACAACATATAAATAAGATAAAAAATAAACAAGATTAAAATAAGTTTAAAACAGTTAGTGTTGTCCTGCATAATAGACAAGAAATTAAAACAGACTTAAAACATTTAATCTTTAACCATAACTTACTAAACCTTAAAACATTTCAGTTCGACCAACTTCAAAGTTATTCATTATTTGTATTAATTCCAATAGACTTTTAACCCTTTGATGCATGAATTATGAAATCTTCAACCATGATTTTTAAACAATTTTTTTCATTCATCTTTAGGTGTGAATGAAACAAATTTCAACAAATATTTTTTGTGACATTTTGTTAATTTACAAATAATTTGTTACATGTCCATTTCAGTGGACAGTGTGCATTCTATGCAATAAAGTCTTCAACAGCTGTGCTTAATAGCACAAATAAATAAATAACAATTTTGAGTACCTGTCCACTGTAATTACCATTATGCATCAAAGGGTTAAAGGAAAATACTTTGTTTACTATCTGTTTTAGACATCTGCAGTTCCTGTTTGTTCTCAGATCATTCTAATAATAGAATAGAATAGAATAGAATAGAATAGAATAGACCTTATTAGTCCCACAGTGGGGAAATTCATACGCTTAGAGAAAAGGTCAAAATAATACAGGTAAATACACAAAGGCAGTAGGCTATTCTTGTAACCTTCAACAGTTAAAGTAATTCATAAATTTAAAAAATGAGTTTGCAATATTATTAGTATTATCATTATCATTTCTGAGGGTAATAAAATCTGGAAATAAATGCCCAAGAGGTCTGCATGTTTAATATTGTCCACCAGATAGCAGCCTAACTTTGCAGTTATGTTATGCAGCAACATAAAATATTGTTGGGTTTTAAATGGTTACTAACCACAACACTATAGCCCTCTACAAGAAATTCTAATTAGCCCAAGTCTTTATTCTCTCAGGAAGGGAGAGGGTGTAAAGCTGTGAAATATTCAGCTGATATCAAAACCAAAGGGATTTTCAGTCTTTCTCTCTGGCTGCAAGCGGGAGTTTTAATGCCTTGGGGAAATATTAATTACCGATGTAGCTGTGATGGTTACAAGCCAAGAGCTACATGTAGAAAAAGAAGAGAGGGTTGTCATGCCTTGGTGAGGCTGAGCAGCTCCAGTGGAGCAGCTGTGGATTAAGGATTCTGATTTACAGCTTTTTGGACAGAAAACATCTTCTTGAACCTTCAGCCAACCATCACTCCTAATACTTTACTGACAGCTGATGGTAAGCTTTACATTTTCATGTTTTTGAATCACCCTATTTTTCCACCCATCCTAATAACACAAATATCTCACTGATTCTGACTTGTTGAGTGTTTAATTTGAACAACCTCTCAAAAAACATTAACACCCACTGTGATAACAGCACATCTTCATTTTTTTTCTTGGAATAAAAAAGTCAGGTTTTATTTAAGTGGAGCTGTTTTTGTCCAAAAATGCATAAATGTGAAGGTTTTACTTCCAAAAATATTATAAAAACCAGTGAAAATATAAATTATTTTAATCATCCAGTTAATAATGACTTGAGTTGAAAATACGCTACAGTGCTTAATCAAAGGACCTTTAAAGGACAATAAAATAGAAAGCAAATTACAGCTAAAAGTTAAATTCATTATCTGATTCAACACAAAACTATCATCTCATATCTGACCCATCACAGGTGGGGGATTCAGCAGTTCAGTGACCCATTAAATAATAAAATACTCATATAAAGATATAAGCAAATTTATAAAGAATGGAATAAAAATTACAAATGACCCATTTCTTCATTAATATAATAAGAAGTTGTGGCCGAAGGAATACTTTACCAAATCATTCAAATTCAGCACAAAACTTCTAAAACCAACACTTACAGTCAAAACACACAAAGTCAAACACAAATCAGGAAAAATTCTGACTAAATTCATTTTTCTACCTTCCTCTTGCCTCATATTACCCAGTGGCGCTCCCAAGATGGGGGCCATGGCCACTCCTGGAAAATTGTTGGCCACCCCACTGGTCCCGCCTTTGAACACCAACCTCCTTCACAAATCACAATCATTTTCACACAATCTGTACATTCATCTTTTCCAACCAAGATGTAAATATTAAAGCCAAAATTTTTAATATCAAATTAACGAATAACTTGTTTTAAAAAATCACATCACTGAGGTACACCATTTTCTAAAAAAGTATGTATCCCAATAATGTCCCAACAGCAAAAAGCTAATAAAACAGTTTTAAAAAATTGAAACAATAACTTAAACGGCTGTTTAAAAATTTGGTGTTTTTTCAGAAAATTTTCTCAAAATTGAAGTAAATGTGTTGAATGCAGATTATTCTGTAATAGACAAGAAAGAAAGAGCAATGCAACGCACAGCTACAGGGTAAACTCTCCCAGACTTATAGGTACCAATTTGGTGTGTCACACTGTCTCTTTCCATTTTGAAATAATAATAAATAAACATTCAATAACATTACATTTTCATTCAATTTCATTTTCAATGAATATTTAGTGTATATATATACACACAATACAATTAAGCAATTTTACTTAAAGTAGGAACATTTTATGTGTACTTTATCCGCGTAAAATTTAAAATGTCTGCGCGCCTGCATGAGTCAAGCGTGTTAATTGCAATCTGTCAAAAGGACTAACAGTCTTCTGATTTTTTTTTCTGTCGCCATAGAAGCATTTTTTTAAACTGGTCCATTACAGAAAATTTCTAGATAAGGCGACCCCTGGTGCCACCCCAAATCGTTCACTGGACCCCCTCTAAACATTTTATAGGGGCACCCCTGCTGAACAGATGCAGCTAGCCCAGCATCAACCTGAGGCTGTTTCATTAGTGTGTTGTTCTGCAGTACTTGTTGGACTAGATGTTTGAGCATCACCAATAAAACAGAGTTATCTGTAGCTGAAGATGGATGCTTTTCATCTCTCAAGAACATAATTAAAGTCCCAGTCTAAATGACTGCAGTCCACACGTCCTAAACTTTAGAGTAGAATTAGAAAATAATGCAAAGCACCGCATTTCAAAGACTGAATTTAGGTCATGAATCACCGCTGGTTAATGGAAGAGTGTTTTGTTCACCTCAGTATTATTTTTTCTGTCATCATCCCTTTAATGTATGATTAACATATTTTCTAAACACATTAAAAGGCTGTAGTATTCTTTCTTTTCACATTTTCTTTGAAAACCTTCAACAAATCTGTTTGAAAGAGGAAAGAAATCCTCGGAGCAGCCTGCTTGAGTGAGTTTCAGCTTTTTATTCAATTTTAAGAAACAAAATTTAGCATTTCCAAAGTGATCAACTTTTGTTTTTCACTGAAAGATTTTGCTATTTTATCAGCAGAGGTGTCCTTTCTGTCAAAGAAACCTTACGTAGTCCAGAAGGCAGCGATTATTAAAGTCTGAAACTATCACAGAAACACCCCCGGGCTTTGGATGTTGCATGGCCTTTCAGATATATTAGCAGTTTAAGGACAATAAAGCCTCTTTGCAAACAGTTAAACCTGATTACCTGCACACAGCCTAGGGAACTAGAGTGGATAATCTCATAGAGGTCCTAAAATAACACTAAATAGTTTATTAAACATTAATCTAGAGCTTTAACATTGATTTCATCAATTGTTGAGTTGGAAAATTTACTGGTGTCATATTTGGGTAGGGAGCCTAAGTCATGCCCATCTATACTTGCAGGCCATGGGGAAGAACAAAAAAAAATATTGCAAGTCAATAGGGCTATGTTGATAGCAGTTAGCATTTTCAGTTCTTTGATCATTAATAAAATGCTCAAGAAGAAGAAGAAAAAAGTAGTTTACTTTATCTGTTGGCATCATGTCGAAGCCTGGAAGTAAAATGAAGAGAGTAATGTGTTTAGAGGTGAAGCAAAGAGCTAAAACCAGAGTGAACATCTGCATGGCCTACACTAGTTTGAGGGAGCTAAAGGAGGCTACAAAATGACATTCTTTCTTTAACTTTGTACTGTACCATGTTCAGTGCCTTGGGCTTCCTGATAGGGTTGCGGAAGGCGCTTTATAAATAAAGCTTTGATTTGATTTGATTTGATTGACATACTGATGGTGACCTGGCTTTGTTGCTACTGGACTTGTAGGTAATATTATTGTCCATTGAAGTGGATCTTTTTACTTCATGGTTTATTTTAGTATTAGTTGGCTCATGTTAATGTTAGCTTGTTGTTAACGCTAGCTACAGCAGGGTTGTTTACAGCAGATGTAATTGTACTTTACACCAATCGGGTGGTGGGTAATGGCACATTCAGGGTCACCCCAGTCATTTTTAACAAACATCACTTTTCATTTAGCTTTGTTTAATTTTTATACAGATTTCCACTTTTACACATTCTTATCACAGGGTGATGTGAACCTATCGTGTTATTTTTCTAACCACATCAAAAACCAGAGGTTAGCTTATAATTACACATCCTAGTGCAGCTCTCAGATTGCTGCACTAAAATGTGGGTTAAAAAAGCCTTAAAAACCTGCAAAAACAGTCATCAACTTCATTTCTGACTTGAATTTTTAAGCGTTTCCTGAGAGGCGAGTCAGATTTGGTTGAAAACCAGATTTGAGCTGTTTTCTGGCTCCACAAGAGGCCTGGCAATCATTGCTTTCATGTCTCAAAAGAGCAGAAACTCAAAAGCGGCCAAACTATTGAAGTCTGCTGGAAAGAGTCAGAAGAAACAGCATCGAGTCTTCGTGACGTTAAAAACACAACAGGCAGGATTTCACTGAGCAGAGCTGTGCAGCTTTTTGTCTTTCGTTCGATGATTCTTTATATTTTAAAGTCATTCGTTGAAGAATTACATGAAAGAAGCTCACTGCCAGTTGGTTTTTATTAGAACGTCACTCGCAGCAAAGCAGAAAATAAGCTCAGTGGCGAAGATTGTTTGACAATCACAAAGTGTTTCATCTGAAACGGTTTGAGAGAAGTCTGTAAAAACAGAAAAAAACCACAGTGATGATGCCGAAGCACAAACAAATTGTTGCATTTTGAACTTGTTTCCCAATAAAATCCAACTAAAACTCACTTTCTGAGCTTGGAAACAAATGAATGACTTTACGCTTCATTTTACTGTTTTTTTATTTAAGGATATAAATGAAATTTCTGCTCCAGATTGTTCATGTTTTCAAATGAACCAGACTTTAATGGCATTTATTTTTCCTTTTATATCCTTTGTTTATGAATTCAGAGTATCCTTTAGAGGGGTTAGTACCACATTAGAGGGAAGTTTGATTTAAGGCAACTGCTGGTTGTACATACTGGCTTGTTTCTTGCTCACAGATAATTTTAGGAAAGTGTCAGAATCACAAAGCTTTGTCTCATTGCTATTCTGGACATGTACTCTCTCTCTTCAGGCTGCTGCCCTGCATGTGTGTGTGTGTGTGTGTGTGTGTGCGTGTGTGTGCATGTGTTTGTTTTTAAGGGGGACGGTTTGGTGGGTGTGTCACTGTTACGCCTCAATACGCGTGCTCTGCTCCATGCCCTCAGCTCTGCAGGGCTTGCTCTGATCGGCGTCACTGCTATGGAGTCTGCCACAAATTTATTGGCTCCTGTTTCATCTGTTGAAAGCAAAACTAATTCGGATTGCACTAACGATAAGCACAACGTTTTTTTATGAACTTGTGCAAAGTAACAACAATACTAATAATTTCTTAGTAGATATTCTATGAAGCAAGAGATCAACTTTATTGTCTTTATCCCAGTGAATCTATAATCAATTCAACAGCTGAACTAGTAGTAGCACATTCTATGTTAGGGAAGGTAAATGTTTTTATCAGGAGACGGGGGATGTTCAGTGGTTGGCAGCGGTGTGCTAGCTCATGGCCTCCTCCATGAGGCTACAACAGCTCAGCAGAACGCCTGTGTAGCTTCTAATGGGGAGAAAAACAGAGTGAAAATAAAGTTAACAGCTGAAATAACAGGAAATAATGTAACTGAAGAGTAGTGGTAGAAGAAAGTAGCAAAGTGTGGAAAATGGTCAGTATGTCGTCCAGCAGTGTAAGTCTATAGCAGCTTAACTACAGAGATAACTCAAGATAACCTTTTAGATGGAGGCATGTTGGAGGCGGAGCCAGGAAGAACCATCTGGGCTCTCCCTTAGAGATAGGGTGAGAAACTCGGTCATCCGGGAGGGGCTCGGATTAGATCCGCTGCTCCTCCAAATCGAGAGGAGCCAGTTGAGGTGGTTCGGGCATCTGGCTAAGATGCCTCCTGGATGTCTTCCTGGTGAAGTTTTCCAAGCATATCCAACTGGGAGGAGACCTAATGGAAGACCCAGGACACGCTGGAGAAACTATGCTTCTCAGTGGCCAGGGAACGTCTTGGGATTCCCCTGGAGGAGCTGGGCCAAGTGGCTGGAGAGAGGGAAGTCTGGGCCTCGCTAGTTAGACTGCTGCCCCCGTGACCCGACCCCGCATAAGCAGATGAAAATGGATGGATGGATGGATGGATGACAGAACATAACCAATAAATCAATATCACTGACTAAAATTTTAAGTGCAATTGAGCACGTGAAAGAAAAATCTGCAACAATCCTGCTGAAATATTTCTAAAAGACCCTCCCTCTTATATTTTATAGCTTTCTTGTTAAATACTGTTTCTGTTGTTTGTTTGATTTGTTATTCCTTTAGTTCTCTTTGTTGAAAACGTTTCCTTTCCTTTCTATCGATGACCTGCTCCTGGAAAATTGAGTTTTCCAAAGAAACATTCCTGAGGAATTAATAAAGCCAATCTTGGTAGGTATATTGGTATAATTTAATTTGATTCCCATTACAAACCAGACAGACTTGATTGCTGTTTTTAACTGTGGTGAGCATCTTCATCTTCATTCAGCTCGACTCCTGAAGTTAATACATTTTAGATTTACATGCAATGATTACATAGCCCAGCAAGCCATCCTATATACTGTATATATAACTTTCTTGTCTGGCCACAACCCAAAGTCCTGGGACAGATTCTACGACTGTCTTTCTAACTGTCTCTGCACACATTTGGACAACGCTAAGACCAGTCAGAGCAACAAACACTGGGAGGTATTCATCATTACACCATTGTTGAAGAAGAAGAGCCCAAGCCAAAATCGTCCAAAGTTGATGCCAAAGTCGTCTCAAAGGAGCGCGCTTCCTGAAGCAATGCCATCTTTGTTTTTCTCTGTCGCAGTTTTGATGCTAAGCCCGCACAACATCTCGCTACAAATATAGAGAGCTGTGATTGGACTGACCTAAAATTGTTCAGGCCAATGGTAAACCTGCAGATGACCATTCTGCAGAGCTAAATATTTTGCTAAATGCTTTGTTTGGTCTAGATTCCTAGGGTACTGATTACTCATTGAGAGTTTAAGTAAAATCCTTTAGGAGATAGTCTGACATTATGACATTATTTTAGAAACAGTTCTTATACCTTTTAGCTGACAATATACATTTGTTCCTTGTTGTGTTGTTTTTTTTATCACAGGCTTTAATACCCGTTTGTGGTTTTTGATTTTTCAGTAGTGGTTGTACTTAAACCCATCATGTAAAATGCAGGCATCATGGCTGACTTCTACTGAACTTTCAATTAACAGACCAAAAAGAATCTGACCTACTTTCAGAAATAGTTCAGTTTGTCTCCTCTAGGACAACTTATGAATACATTTAATGTCTGCATTTAGGTCCCCTAAACGTTAGAGCCTAAAACCATGCAACATGGAAAAGACTAAAGTTTTCTTTCAGCTGACCCATAGTGCTGAATTTGATCAAAAATACAATGAATCCTGTTTAAGACATGTTGCTTTAAAACTGTGCACACAGTTTTCTCTGCAGCTGACATTTCCGTCTCTTTTATTTTAGACGTTTAAACACGAGTACGCATGGGTTTAGCAGAATGTCAGATCACACCCCTCCCCATCCTCTGGTGCATATCTCATTAACATGCAGCGCAGAAATGGGTGTCCTTGCAAGGGCAGAGCTAGAACAGCATGGAGGCTGAGCAGGCATGGATGTCAGTGAATGACGTGGAATCGGCGTCCACTTCCACGCCTGCTGGGATTAGTGACAAAAGTCGAGCAAGGCCGGAACTCTTATCTTCATCCTTCAGTCCTCTCTCGTGTTCACACATGCACAGACTCAGTAAATTGCACAGTGAACTCGCACTGCCCTAATTAGGTTTGACGAACATTTTCCATCTTCAGGAAATGATGTTGTGCAGTGATTCAGCCCTGGAAGTCTGGAAGGTGAGGGGGATATCATTATAAGAATAATTACATTTTATTTCTCTGTCTTTGGTTCCCCCTAAACACATCCAGCATCCATGACACTCTCAGTAGCATCTAATTAAAATATTCACCATGTCCTTTTCTTCTTTTAGGGGGCTCAGATTAAGGCCTAGTCCACACGTAGCCGGGTTTTTTTAAAAACGAAAATCCGCCCCTCCAAAAACTTGCATCCACACCACCTCATTTTAAAAAAAAACTGTCCACACATACCCGGATAAATACGTTGTTAAGGACATGCCAGACCTGTAGGCGGCAGTACTTCCCCCGTTCTTAACCTCGTCCTTTGTCTGTTGTCTTCCGCAAGGAGCAGTAATTCCACTTGCAAAAACAAACAAGCAAAAAGCGCTTGGACAATTGATGGATCGGGTAGTGACAGAGCGCAGCTCTGAGGGCTTCCATGATGCCGGCTAGTGTAAACACAGGTTGCACACGTGATGTCAGCATTTTTTTGTCACGGAAAGTGACGTTGCGGATCTTAAAACTCCGGTTTTGTCTGTCCACACGCAGACACCCAAAACGGAGAAAACGCAGATCTTCACTTTGGCCGGAGTTTTTAAAAAGATCCGTTTTCGTGTGAAAAAACTCCGTTTTCGTGTGGATGACAGGCCAAAACGTAGAAAAATATCTACGTTTTGGCAGATCCCTGGCTACGTGTGGACAGGGCCTTAAATCACTTTTACTTGTGCTTATGTGACAAACTCTTTAAAAGTAGTGAAAATATGTTTGAAGCGGTTGAATGTTGGATAAGAAACAATCTCCAAAATTTTGGTTTTCTATTCTCATCCCTCTGGTGTTGGTGTCCGTGGGCAGATGGCCACACAACCGAGCATCTGTGCTGCCTCCCCTTCCCAGACCAGGGGGCAGGTGTCATCTGCCACACAGTAAATGCCTTCATCCATACCATCTAGGTGCTAACGAGCTGATTGTGAACATCTACCTTAACTGAAATCAGATGGAACAGATTTTATTGTTTTTGTGTATCTCACAGACAAGGAAGTGTTCAACCGTACGTTGTCGGACCAGACCACAAGCTGTGGATCAGTCTGGAGTCTGGACATTCCCCAAATATCCTGGACCGTGAGTAGTGCTCCAACATTCTTCTTTGTTCTTTCCCTCTCATTATTCAACAAGAACGTTAGAATTAGTCTAGTGTTAGCGGTAGCTCAAGTGTTAGCAGTAGCTCATGCTAGCATAGTAGTAGCAGCACAAGCTAGCACATTGAATTGCTTCTGTGTATGAAATGTGCTATATAAAGAAAGCTGCCTTGCTAGCATTATCCATAGCTCAGGCTAGTGTTAGCGGTAGATCCGGTTAGCATTGTTCTGTGGTTAGCATTAACGAGACAACATTTAAACATTGCCAAGCTTAAAGAGGGCTGGGACATGCTCATTCAAGCTAATGTGTCTAAGCCTATGATGTGTTAAACCAGCTTTTCTCTGAACAACCCGTTTCTCTGTGGCTGGTACAGCATTGCTAAATTACATAGGAATGCAGGTCGGAGAGGGCACCGACTTGTGGGATGCTACGGTAGGCACCCCAAGCTGCCTATATAAAACAGAGACAACATACATTTGGTTTCAAATTCTAATCCTACATGGTGGTAAAAATCAAAGTTTCTATTGGTCAGGTTATTTCACAAATCAGGGTGTCATACAGCTCAGAAAGATTAGGTTTTTACTTTTCTAACAGCTGTGGTGGTCAGTTTGTGCTATATGAGCATGTCGAGCTGACATTGTATGTTCACTGGACAGAACAGCCACTGCGCCTGACTGTGCCGCCATTTCAATGCAGCTCTTTCTGTGCTTAAGTTAAACTGTGTACTAAAACAACAACAACCACATATTTAGTAACTTTTATGAGCTATTTTGGGCTCCAAGAGTTGAATTTGCATTCATTTTGGTGTCTAATTCTTAGATTAGCCATTTTTATATTTTGCTTGTTTTTACATTATTGTATTTTTGCACAACTCTGTTGCTGTGAAGCTCGCACACAAGAATTTCACTCGCATGTATTGTACCAGTGTACCTGCACATGTGACGTGACAATAAAAGTGATTTGATTTGATTTAATTTGACAGTGTTTGTCTGAGATAGGCAATTAACCTTTCAACATCATCTTGCAAACATCAGGATGGTAAACATGCTAGTTTGCAGCCAACACACAGTACCACTGAGCCCCAGAACAGAATCAAAACACTACTCATCACAAATGATGCTCTGAGCTCAGGATGAAAGTGTCCAGCTGCAGGCTCATGCCAAGTTGGCAAGAACATTGAAGTTTGCAGTATTGCAGGCAGGTAGACAGCCAGTCAGACAGGTGGACAACTGGCAGCACCAAACTTATGACTGCAACACAATGGGTTCAATGCAACACTGTCAAACCCTGCAGGAGAAACTGAAGTTGGACTTGTCAGTAGCATCAGAGGGAAACTGAGAAAAAAAGCTCACTGACTGTTGTAACCATGGATTCATGACAGATGAGGAGCATCTTGGAAAGTGTCACAGCATTGCAGGAGTCCGGGTTAGGGAAACGGCATGTCCGGCCTCAGCAGAGGCTAAGAAAGAATCTGTGACAGCCATAAGTTCTGTTTAAATTTATTCTGTCAAACTGCAGATGCATATTTCTCAACTTGTGTTGATAAATGTCAACACCGTGACAGCAGCAGAGAGGCAGGAAATGAGTGTTAGGTTTTAGGAATAAAAAGATGTTTATTTTGACAGTTGAGGGAAGAGCATGGGAGGCATTATGTTGTAAATGTAAACGTTTTCAGGAAATTCATTTCCATTATTTTTGAATAATGCAAAAGCAGCACTGACTTTGTAGCAATCTCGGCTTTGGAAAAATGGCCTGTTTTAATCCATAACTGGTGTAAGGAGAGTAAACTGAAATTAAAGAAATGTTGAAGCGGGTACCAGTGGCTCAGTAGGGTCACCATGGAAACGGCAAACTTGCATCTCCCACTTCCTCACAATAAACTTCCCACATATTACTAAAAAGTTAGATGAAATTAGCTATTTTAGGACTTAATTTAAGTGGAACACTGAGGTCAGATGCTTCTATGACACATCCAGCGTTATCACAAGTAGGGCTGAAACGATTCCTCGAGTACCTCGAATAATTCGAGTACAAAAAATCCTCGAGTCAAATTCTCTGCCTCGAGGCTTCGTTTAATTCATGTTTAATTAATTCATGGCTTTGCAATCACCCGGGGTCATGTTTCACCTGGACCGAAATAAGTGACGCACATGCACACTGCACTGAATGCACACGCGAGTAGCGAATGTAACTTAACTTTCTTTTAAGCCATGGCGGACAACGTGGACCCCGGCGGAGTGCGAAAAAGACAGAAAATGTCAAAGGTGTGGGACCATTTTTCACGTCGTAAGGCGGAAAACGTACTCCAGTGTAAATACTGTAAAATGGATTTAGCCTACCACACCACCACATCCTCGATACTGCAGCACCTGTAAATGTCACTTCTGCAAGCGGACTCAGAGCCTCTACAAGATAATGCATTTTAGCCTGTATTTCTATATATTCTGTGGACACTGTGCGACTTTTTTGTTTGTAGCACTCAGTTTCAGCTCACGCCGTACGTCTGGTAGCAACACGTCAGACTTAAAATGTGCTAAAAATAGTAGTTTTTACAACACGTCGGACTTTTTACTGTGTTGTTATTGACGTCCGTTGTCCCTCAGGATTGCTGCAGGAGGACACAGGTATTTATGAGTGGCGGAGGAAAACGAAAGAAAGTAAATACATGTTGTGTGATCAGTATAATTTGACAAAACCACAGCAAACATGCTTTCTCGACAATCCTTGTTAGTGTGAGGAAAAAAAAGTGTAGAAATTAAAATGGACGTGTGTTAATAGGGAAACAGCTGGTGAGCCATGTTTGCACATGCGCCGTGAGCGGTTCTGGTGCTGTTTGGGCCGCAGCCGCTCGCACTTGTTTACTGTAAAGTAAAGTTGAAATGCTGAAGTTTTGAAAACTAATTTTGAATAAAACTTGAATAACTGGCAATTGCGTGCTCATTTTAAGAGGTCTTTCATATTTTATGACATGCTATTTGATATAATGGTTTACAAACGCTAAAGGGTAATTTATTAGAGTACTCGATTAATCGATAAAATATTCGATAGAGTACTCGATTACAAAAATATTTGATAGCTGCAGCCCTAATCACAAGATCTTGATGTTCCATCAGAAAGCAGGTGTTTAACCCTCCCACTGTTTTTATGGGTGACCCCGCAAGGAAAGTTGAACATTGAGCAGGATTGATGGTTTATCCCTTGAGGTCCATGTGGCAGGGGTGAGGTGGTGCTCACTCCTCACCCCTGCCACATGGACCCAAGGGATAAACCATCAACCCTGCTCAATGGTCAACTTTCCTCACGGGGTCACCCATAAAGACAGTGGGAGGGTTAAATCTGCTGCCACCGAGCTGTTATCTAGTTGTACTGAGACGCTGATACAAAGACAAATAAAGCTTCTTGTACCTTGAGTTTGAGCTGCACCACGCAAAAAAAATACAGTAAACGTTTGCATGTAAATTTTCAACAAAAAAAATATATCGATACACTGCTTTTAAATATCGATTCAGTGCCACGACATGAAATATCGCGATATTTCAATGTATTGATGTTTCCAAACATCCATAATTAACCCTTTGTTTAGAACTCAAAGGAGAAAGTTGAGCTTTAAGAAGAAGGGAGATGTTGAGAAAGATGATGATCTGTTCCAAAGTTGTTTTTTCTCATTGATCTACTTGTCAAGGTGTCAGTCTAAAGCAGCGGTGTCCAAACTTTTCAAGACGGAGGCCAAATTCATCAAGTGGGCCAAGAAATTATTTTTTCCCCCATGTTTACATCTCTAAATAAATCCAAAATAGGCAGCTTACTAGAAATATGAACATAAAAATCCTAGAAACTATCAATGCACTTCAAAAACCTGTTAATGAAACAAAAGTCATTCTAGAAATGCAGTTGGGGGGCATGCAAAATCACACTAAGGGACACAAATGGCCCCTGGACCATTCTTTGGACGTGCCTAGGGTGTGCAAGTGTATGGCCACAACTTCAGTTGCTTGATTGGTTGATTAGAAATTTGTCCCAACTTTGTTTTTGTAGCTCGATCGAACACAGACATGACAAAGAGGAATAGATTGGACTATTGATGTGATCATTATTGAAGCTGAGAGGAGAGTGGGAAGGCGGAGACACGGGGAGACACACACACACACACACACACACACACACACACACACACACACACACACGCACGCACACACACACACACACACACACACACACACACACACACACACACACACACACACACACACACACACACACACACAGAGGGGATGCGATTAAAATAAGACACCCCTCCTTGCTCTCCACCACTTCTCCAGGAAAAAAGAGCTGCATCATTCATTAACAGGAGCCTCTGTTGTGGATTCATTCATAGAGAGAAGCTGCATCTGTCTTCTCCAGCTGTAGTGCTCATGTGTGTGTGTGTGTCACACTGAATGACAGAGAGGCAGGCTAACAGAAAGAGAGAGAGAGAGAGAGAGAGAGAGAGAGGCTAACAGGAGATCTCTGAGGCAGCAGATATCTAGTTTAAACACGCTGCAAGACTGGAAGCAGGATGGATTTCTGCACAAAGTGAGCAGGGAGTAGCTGCCTCACATCAAAAAGGTAACTATTCATTTATTTTTCTGTTGTCCTGTTGAAGATTTTGGTTGTTTTTGAACGAAAGGGTTGAGATATTTATATGCAAGAGGGGATTCTTGCTGAAAACCACCACTCACCTCAAACGCAGCTTTTCAGTTGCCTGCAACTTTATTCAGAAAGCAGAATCATTGTGTGGGACAAAAGCTGCTCCTCCGTTTCGCTGCATCCATCAGTAAAGAGAGGGGTGGAAATCTGTATGCATGCATTCATTTTGAATTTAATGGGGCAGTGGATGGGGAAGCCAAAAAAAAGTATTAATGAGTGGAGAAGAAAATATAGAAGACGGTTTAAAAGTGTCCTCTCAGTGCTCTGAGAACAAACAGGGTTTGTTTGTGTTTGAC